AAGGGTGACATCCCTATTCAATATCCCATATACATAAGCCAATTTTTACAGTAACAAGTAACCCGATACTGTGCTTCACTAAATAATAATACATGGCCCATATCATATTTAGTTCACTTAACATGGAGTTTGGAAACACAAATTTCAATAAACGATAGTAATAAATTCTCCCGGCAGCGTGTTTAACATTAGTTCACAGCGTGTGTTCATAAAGAGTCGGTAAATTCTCTTCGTTTATTTCCAGCTCTACCAATTTTATCGATCCAAAAGTTTCGTTCCAAGGTGGCCTTGGATAACTGACACAATCTCCCACGTCAATATCGCATGTTGTCACTAGGGCAGTGAGATAAACAACACTTTCAACCAGGAACAGTTCTTAATACTGCTACACGTGCGTTAGGCCTAAAAATGATAGTTTCTCGCCAGGAAAAATTTTGAAAGTTCCCCTTTTTGCTAATATACATTCAGTCTAGATCCCAACTATTCAGGTAACACGCCTTAGATTTTATGCAAAATAGTTTATTTCATCTTTTGAAAAAATGTAAATATTGAAATAAAAAAGAACATGTACCGATCTGCAACAGCGAACTTACGCCAAAGATCACGTACTGTCCCCGACCTAAAAATAAAATAAAATAAATAAAAAACTAAGCTATACTTTTCGAACCTTGGTGTTCAGTACCGCTTTGTCTAGTCTCCCTTACAGAAATAAAAGACAAATACCTTATAAAATTATTAGTACCAATTTCTCCATAAAAACAGGATTGTTTTTTTTTTTTTCGTAATGGACAATTGACTCAATGAGGAAAACCCACGTGTGGCAACCTATCTGCCATCAATATGGGCAATCTACTCAAACAAGATCTTCAAATAAAAAATATGATATTCAGTCTATACACGTACAGTCTGGTTATGTAGAGTGGAAGGGAAAGGCAATGCTGCTAAGTTTCTACGATGGTCATTTTTTCATTCATTATTCTTTGAATTTAGGAAATTGAGAACGGAATGACGTAAAGGTTCTACCAAGTCTGTTCTAAAATTCTGAAAACCAGATTCCGCTTAACTTGGACGTTTGAAATTAGGTTATGAATAACTGCTTTATTACGAGATTTACACCATGTTATACATCTAACTGAACGCTGCGCCTACATTTAAAAATGGCAAGAAATGCTGCTCTGAATCGCCTATTCAATATCCCATATACGATTGGATTAATTACTGAGCTGGCAGTTACAATCTTGATGCTTATGTTAAATAGAATGTCCGAAGCATAAGTGTTATTTTCCAGAAGCTTTCTACTAAGATTAAGTATTACGGAGGGTAGGTAAAGGGCCACAAACGCTATTAAGATAATTGCTGTCATCTTCGTTACTTTCAAATCGAGTTCATTTGTCTGTTTGTTTAGTTTCGTTGGTTTTTTTCTTGTCTGTTCGTTTGTTTGTCTGTCAGTTTGCTTGTTTGTTTTTTGCTTGTTTGTTTCTTTCGTGTGCTGGCCTTCTACTGATTGACAAGTTTCTTGGGAACTTTGCGGTTGGAACTTTGGCGAAGGCCAAGCTGCTTTAGGCACTGGCTTCGAGCACTTCCCGCGTCCTTTGCCTTTCCCTTTATATTTAATCTCCGATAGTGGCACTTCATCTAATTCTTCTATGGCTCTTTGATTTTTTAAATATAACACATTCTGTTTGCTTGAAAGAAAACATCCCTTCGTGTTCTGGTCTTGCTCTGATTGACAAGTTTCTTGGAACCTTTGCAGTTGGAACGTTGGCGAAGGCCAAGCGGCTTTAGGCGCTGGCTTCGAGCACTTCCCCCGTCCTTTTCCTTTCCCTTTATATCTAATCTCCGATGGTGGCGCTTCCTCGAATACTTCTAAGGCTATTTGATTTTTAAGATATAAAACATTCGGTTTACTTGAAAAAACAAATCCCTTCGACGTTGACGGCTGTGCTTCGTCGGCTGTTGACGGCTGTGATTCTGTCTTATTCGTGTCATCTTGTGTGTTAATCCGTTTTTTTATCTTTTCTATGTCATTGCAATCTTGCTTGTTTTTGTGACTATTATATGCAAGAATTGTCCTCCGCTGTCGCCTAACGTGTAGAATAATTGCGGCATAAAACCCGAAAGCTAATATGCAGTAAACGGGGTAATGCGGAACAATCACTCTATTCACGAATTCTTGTTGGACATAACGGGCTGAGCATTCCACAGTCGGGCTCCATGTATTCCAACCCATTAATGGTGCGAGAAAAAGACACATTGGGTGAAGCCAGCAGAGAGCAATTGCAGCAATAATCTTTTTAGTTGTTACCATTGTCACATAGCGCGCATATCGACAAATTTTCACATATCTTTCAAATGCGATGAAGAGCTTGTGATTCACAGAAATACTCACAACTATGAAGTTTGTATATATTTTTAGAAGACACAAGTATCTGTCAGAGATGTTAGATCGCTCCTTCATCACAAGCGTTGCAACTATGTTGAACGGTATACAAATAATTCCAGTAACAAAACCGACTAGGGCAAGGCTTGCGATTGCAAAATTTGTCTTGTCGCGTAGTTCTTTATATTTTGCAAAGGCAAGAATAACAAGACCATTCGCCCCCGTTACAGCAACGGCCAAAATTGCATCAAGTACAATAAAAGGTAAGCAATGAAGACTTACACAGGAAAAGTAGTCAACTTCTGTTTTATTAGCAGTTGGCTTCAACTCTTCTGAAACATTCCAGCCAAACTCTTCCCAGGATTCTGTGGCCATCTTGATGTGCTTAAACGATTGCCGAGAAATAGCGGTAGAAATACGGTATTTATTTCTTTCCAAGCTCGTGTCACGCGCCGTTAAGGTTTGGACAGTACAAACGAGTGGGAGTTTTCTCTTTTATAACCACAGCCAATGACCAAGCCTCACGTTAAACCACGAACTTAAATGGTTTCCAAGAAATAACGGTAAGATGCAGCGGCAAATATATATTCATGATATTATATTTATATTGATGTTCTTATGTTAACCACAAGATTCTGTTAGCAGAGACAGTGTCTAAACTACTCAGTATTAGTTAACGGTGTTTATAATTTTCTGTGGTCAGTGAAATTTCACCGTTTGCATAGATACTGTGCAGACTCGTGCTCGATAATTTTTATTTTCTGGTAGAGAGGGAAGGCGTAGTCTATAGAACTTATATTAGACAAAGTAAAATTTTGCCGTAAAAAGCGTCAATACAGTGTCTTTTTATTGTGAGTTATCTTTCTGTAACTGGTTTTGAATGTAGCTAATACACGATTTAGGTATTATGACGCGAACCATGGGGGTGACGGCTTCTAATTATATAATTGAAATACTCTTTTGTCTTGCTAATGTTAGATTTAGGTAAGCCGGTAATAATCGGTTCAGATTTGCCGTGGCAAAGATTGAGGTTAACAGATTTAAGCCTTTTTTATTTGGATGAAACGTCTCTATGAAACATAGTGAAAACCGAATTAATTCAGAAATTGGATTAATGGTTTTAGAGGTATAGGGCTAGACCTCCCATGGCCCTTCGCTTGAAAAAAAGAGCTTTTCAAACGTAAATGTTTTAAAATTTATCAAAAATCGGAGATTACAATAAATGCCCAGAATTAAGATACATGTATAAAAACGATACATTATGTGCCCTTAATTTGCATATGTTGCTGTATATTTTATCTCAATTATTCTTATTGAAATAGTTGTTTTATTCAGTTTGCTTTTATTTCTTCGTGTATTTATTTTGAATTTTTTTCCTTTATAGTTTTCACCTGTTTGGCTTGTATATATCTAAGTGCATCAAAAGCATTTTTATCCATATAAGTTCCTTCGTCTTGTTTCAACTTGAATATCTGCTACCGGTACAATAAAAAAACTAAAACATCCCCAAGCTCGGATACTGCACTTGGTAACGCCCCCTCACCCCCCCCTCCTTGCGTGCCCGTCTTAGACCCCATTCCCATATATTTTAGATCGATCTATCCAGTGAAATTTCACCGTTTGCATAGATACTGTGTAGACTCGTGTTCGATAATTTTTATTTTCTGGTAGAGAGGGAAGGCGTAGTCTATAGAACTTATATTAGACAAAGTAAAATTTTGCCGTAAAAAGCGTCAATACAGTGTCTTTTTATTGTGAGTTATCTAACAGGTGGGGAGTCTCACTAGATTACTGTCAGCTTAGTCGGCTTAAGCGTCTGTCAAGCCTACTTAAAGCTGTAAGGGGTAATTAACTATGGTGCGCGCTCGGCTGACTGCAATTTAGCGTGAACCCCCAGGGAGTTACGTCGATCTAAATCTAAATCTCTGGATCGATCTTTATCTCTGGGAATGCACCCTTAACCTCGACAGTATGCCCATTTCCCCTCTAGGCTCAGTTATAATCCCACGCAATCATTCCAGACATACACGAGATATATCGATCGGTCTTTTACTGCAGAGTACGTCCTCCTAGCTTGTCACAGCCTTCAGATGGATTTTAATTATCTATGAATATCTGGTGAAAAATCTGTGGCCCTAGAAGAGGGTTACAACAAGCAGTGTTTACTTTTAGAGGATTTTTGGAGAAAGTAAAAAAAAACCTGGTAGTATTGGTATGAATCGCGCGTTATTTTAAATGCACTGCTTAAAAGTGATGACGGATGTGTGTGCTTCGAACAAAGTACAAAATGATCCTGTTTTCTATGAGCGTTGCTATCTTCACCAATAACCTACACTCTACCAGGGCTGCAGCTATTATTGTGGACATTTTTTGCTTAAAGCCAAAATGACCATCTTTTTATCTATAGACATATCTGTGAATATCTGTGAAAAATCAATCTGTCGCCCTGGTAGAGGGTAGCAATAACCCATGTGATATAAACATATACCCGATATATACATATATAACCTAGCAAATGGTACTTTAATGGACATTAACCCAAATTCATGAAAACGCTATTCTGCGTCATAAATGGGCAATTAAACTTTCACATTTAAAGTCAAGTTCTCTTTATATCCTCTTTATGCAACTGGAACGATTAACGATACCAGTAGTGTCTTTTAATTGAGGAACTTACTTAAAAGAGGACATTTTCGACCATTTAAAGTCAAATCTTACAGCACTTGAAGCAACATTGACGGCTGGACCGAGGATGGCGCACCATTGTAGCACCGCAGTGATTCTGGTTCTTCTTGTGATTGGTCAGAATGCACAGGGTACAGTATGATAAGCTTCTGAACAAGAGTAAAATTACTCGTATATAGAGTGACACGGTGGTCTGCTTTTGTTAAGGGTGGATGATATAATTAACACATTAACCCTCTTGAATACAAACAAGTTTGCTTCACAATAGTTCGTAGTCTGTTATTTGAAGTTGACTAGTTAAATGAGGTTGGTTGTGACGTCACGAGCAGCCAGTCGTCCCGACTGGTGGGCAAAATGGGCCCCGATATCTAGAAACGCCAATATTTAATGACAAAATCAATGAAAGCCCATTCAGTTATCACAGAAAAAAAATTTATGCCCCAAATTGTAGGCCTTTCAGTGCGCACTAAAATCAGCCATGAAAGAGACAAAATGTTAGGGTTATCAATGAACTCAACTGTAATTCCGTCTTGTGAGTTCAACCCCCTTCATGTACAGTACTTTATTTGATGCAATCAAGTACTTAGCATTAAGGGGGCGGATCCAAGATTGTATAAATAAGGCGGGGTTCGAGTCTATCTTCTCTTCATTGTGAAATACGCAATGCAGGCTTATGACAGCATTTGGCTTTGAATAAAAGGCTTTAATATTATTTAAAATATATCTGGGCTGAGAGGCCTATCAATGAGGGTATGATGGTTTCCTGAGTCCCTATCTCCAAATTCACACCTGACTTCACCGCCTTCATTTCAGCGCTCTCAATCGCGGCCCGCCGTTTGTTTCCCAACCCTATCTCACCGCAGCCGGGAAGTTTGACGGCAGCGAAACCTGTGTCGAAACCAAAGAAAGGTAATTTGTTATGACATTAATTGACACGCGCATTAAGTGATAGTCGTATCCCTTGTTGCAATGTGTAACGCAAAGTTAAATTAACTCATGCTTTGGCTATTCTCTCTCTCTCTCTCTCTCTCTCTCTCTCTCTCTCTCTCGTACTGATATTTTTCTAATTTCGTCTTCAAACTGCACTTCCGTCTTGTGATTCCACCCCCCTTGATGCACCTTTAATTATTCAAGTAATATTATTATTATGCCATTGCATGGCATGTGCATTGAATGATTGTCATATTTCTTGTTGTAATATGTAATGCAAAGCTATTTACTTTCTCTCTTTACTCTCTCTCTCTCTCTCTCTCTCTCTCTCTCTCTCTTTTAAGATAGTTAAAACTGGTATTAATAATCTTCCAATTTCATTTTCAAACAAGCAACTACTGTTACGAGTAACATACTATCAGGCCTGTTTGGCGGAAACAAAGGTCCGCAAGTTCCCCCAAGCGTGGGCTTTTTGAAACCTGCCGCGCCCTTTATCTCTGCTAGCAGTAATGGCAAATCTGGACTTGGAGTTTTGGGAATTTCGTCGCGACGGGTTACCCAGTTTGCAGATGTACCTAAGTTGAAGTTGGCAGGGTCCGCTAAACCTAGGGCCAGCGACAGCAGAAAGTTCATTGTCCGACTCAAGAATAACGCTAACGGTACTAGGGTACCCTTTTCTAAACAAAATAATATACATTATAACTCATGTGTAATGCTTCTTCAATTTGGTAAATTTTAAGTGGCATGTTTATATAGTACTTTAATTGATTAAACTTGATCTCATCTCGTTCTAAAATATTTCATTTTGAATGCTGTTACTTCCTCAATTATAACAAGTGAAAATGTTAAAATTACTCTTTTCTAGCCCTGAAAGCTGAAAGAACATTAACCGCAGCCGTCAAAACCCTGAATAGTCGTCAGCCACTGAGCGTGCTTAAGAGTAAAAAAGTGACTAAGAATTTTCAAGTTGGAAAGAGTAAATTCCTGACAATGTATGCGGATGTCACGTAAGTCTTTCATACTAATCTGACGATAACAACATGAGCCATCATTGGCGGATTTAAAATTTTGATATTGGAGGGTGTGATTGGATGGATAAGGGTGAAGCGTTCCAAACGTAAAAAGTTTTTGCCGAGTATTTGTTAAAATATTAGAAAGTGGGCAAGAACCATTTTACAACAATATGATGTTATTTGAAGGAAGAAAGTTGAATCTCTGAAGCTAAGGGGCTAGAGCGTAGCAAATGTAGGTGGCCTCCCCTGGCTCTTTCTCTCTCTCTCTCCGCACCACCTCTTTCTTTTCGTCTTTCTCTCTTCTCCCTCTCTCTCTCTCTCTCTCTCTCTCTCGTTAACCACACTCCAAATTTTATCATTGTTGAAGAGATATGGAGCAACTGAAGAATGATCCAAACATTGAGTACATAGAACAGAATGTTCGGGTGTGGCCTGCCTCCTACTGTGCGCTGACAAACAGTAAAGCCAGTTCGTGGGTAGGTACTATATTATTGATAATAATAATAATAATAATAATAATAATAATAATAAAATGTCTTATTATTATTTCTGATTTCTTGTGTAAAATGCCTAATAAAACAGTTTAATGTCACATTAATCGCTGTTCCAGGGTTTGGACATGCTTGACTCTCGCCGCGGAAAGTTTGATAAGAAATTTCGACCAATTGGTGAGTACATCGTTTATAGATCAGTTAATTAATTAATAAATTCATTCATTTATTTTAATATTGAATTAAGGAGGTGCATATCAAGATATGAGGAAGGAATATGCCTAGGCCTGTAAAGACAGAGTAGTGATAGCGTCCATCTTGAATTACCTTCACCGCGGCACTACATTGTACCTTATAGAAACCTAAAAGCAGAAGTGCGTTGGGTGGTGAATATTACAACGAAAAGAGGAATTTTAGCTCTTCATGTGTTTCATTTTATCTCAATTATATGTAGATAAGTTTTTTTTTATGTAAAAGAAATGGGAAAAGTTATTTAGCCCAATTTTGTCCATGTTTACGTGTCAATCTACCTTAAACGATGTCCGTTTAATGTCTCCAGGTAACGACGGGAGAGGGGTGTACGTTTATATTCTAGACACGTGAGTACTCTCATAGTGCAGTGGTTACATCCGCCGTCCTCTCTTATCTAAGTGCCTTAAATTGAAATGTTGACTAATAAGCCAATTTTTAGCACATTAGGTTTTTAAAGAGATTTCAACTGCATAGTTTAATGTTCTAGGTTGTGTCAAATGAAATAGTAGCATGGTACAATTGCAGGATTTTAGCAGCCAAAAACAAGAAAATTATATTGATTATTACTCAGGATGTAGGAGGCTGTAGTACACGTTTACGTATATAAAGTATTTTATTCCAGCGGAATCCGAAGCAGTCATTCAGATTTTGACACGAGGGTCATATCCGGAGTAAGTCGAACATCTTTTTAAACATCAAGTACTGCGCTATCCCCTGCGTACGCGCTTCTTGTATTAATCGATCTATTTCAACTACGAATTACATGGTATGTATAACATGTCATGTTACTGACTTTTTGTGCCCTACGGTTACCAATCTGCAAGACCGTCAAATTGACGTCAAAGGGCTAGAAACGTGTGTAGCAAGGTGAAAATATGCATAGTTTTTGCACAGTCATCACACTCATTATTTCAGAAATCGTTTGTATCTGGTCGTCGTAGTGACCAAGATGGCCACGGCCATGGTACCCACATTGCAAGTAAGTAGAGTCTCCATTTATATTCATCATTTTGTATGGTTTTGTAACATCATATATACTGTTACTACCAGAAAACGTAGGTCTGAACAGCTGTTTGCTGGATTTACTTGTAATTCGGGATCTGCAAGATGGAACGCATTTAAAACAGCGGACTAACAGAGCAGCAGATCAAATATGGCCGGCCCACTTGAATGCTTGTTGCGTAATCTTTAGAGTGTCTAATCGGGAATTGAGCGGCAAGCTTTTTAGTGGGTCGCCATATTTGATCCGCGGACCTGTTCGTCCGCTTGTCTGAACGCGCTCATAATATTCATACTCTGCCCTACATATACATTTAACCCAAAATTGGTACCTTTACCAATGGCGACAAGCCAATTGTATATAAATTATATGTCTTAATTAGTCATTTGAACGTTTGTGGTCGCACATTTTAGTATTTTAATATTAACAATAATAAAATTTACGTCAACTTACAGGTCTGGTAGGAGGCAAGACGTATGGCGTAGCCAGAAAAGTGAACTTGGTGGCCGTGAAAATATTGAAAGATGACGCCTATGGCACTTTAGTGTGAGTGATGTATAAACCAACCATTTTGCAACAATTTCCCAAACCGTATTGCTACCTGTTCACCTTACTGCTACAAAATCAAGACCTTAAATGTTATTAAATGAATATGAAGATACATTTTAACCACAATTAAAGGTAATATCCGTTTGTGACTCTGCGGATAGAGAACTGCTTTTTGCGTGGTTTTTCTTTTGAAAATAAAATAAAAATTATTTTTAAGTTGTTCTTCGTTGTAGATTTCTTTTTCTTTTCTTTTTCCTTTTGTCTTTTTTTTTTGTTATAATACATAAGTTAGTACCAGAAAGAGTAAGAGTTTTAGGGATCCTCCAGACAAAATGTGTGCATCGCTACACAAAGTCATTTTGTTAGCGGAATTAACATTTTGTTGAATAAGTTACAGAGGCTGAACATCAATATTCACATTAATGTAGCCTTCTTTAAGCAATATAAGCGTTAAGTTCTGTTTTTTTTTCAGTGATGTTTTGGACGGAATGGACTACGCCATCAGTGACTGCAAGAAGCGGAAGGGACGATGCATCATTAAGTAAATAAACATCACTTTGGCCGCATTTAAAAAAAAACTACCCCATTTTCTTAGTTTTAAAGACCTTCTCCTTGCTGCCAATGTATAGTCCCAACATGGCGGCCATATTAAATTTTCTCTGTAAAATGCCTGCTCCACATTTTGGATTTTCCTAGATTTTGAATATGCTCATATACCAAAGACAAAAAACTTACTTCTATTTTGTTTTTCAATAAGTCCGTGGTCTAACCATTTTTCGCAGACTATACCCCCCCCTCAAAAAAAGTCTACACCGTAGGGTCCATCGTGGTTTCGCTTTGTCAGACACATCCATATGTCTACTAGATAGGTATGGGTTGTCTGCTCAGAGTATAAAATTGACCTCGCAGATCTCAGTAAACAGCGTTAGGATGGTGTCTTTTCTATTCCAGTCTTTCCCTCACTGCCATGACGGTGTCCCATGCTTGGGAAGACGTAATTAAGGAGGCAACAGACCAGGTATGAGCCATTAGAGCAAGAATTTACTGCTAAACAAGCGTGTGCGGGTTTTGAAATGTTTTCCAATTTATGTTAATTAGTGCTTTCCTCTAACAATTATACAAAATTACATGGAATGTGCAACATTTGTCTTTGCAACGGTATATTTCAAAATTATGTGTGAAATAATACATTGTCACAAAAGCTTTATACGCCATGGAGAGATGTTCAAGTCATCGTGAGAGTGGCAGTGTATGATTTGACACACATACCGAGAGAAAGTACTTGGATTTCACACAAAAACACCTCCAAATTCGAATAAAGCGTATATCACTAAGGTCACATAACATCTCTAAGTGTGTGATAATATAAACAATGCAGCTTTGACATATTTTAAGGTATGCTGTTTTCTAGGGAATAGTGGTGACGGCAGCGGCAGGGAACTCCCAGAGGGATGCGTGTCTTGGATCCCCGGCACACTCCAATCACGCGTAAGCTGTGCTGCACACGGCTATGGTTTACACAAGTACCATGCATTGTTAAAAATAGGTCTCAGCTAAGCTGAAATCCGCAGCACCTAGCAAAATTTCCTAAGCTGACTAATTTGCAGTTCTCAAATAATTTCAAAGGGTTTTTTCTCGGTATTTAATTATTAATTTAAGCCCCTTGATCAAAGTCTTATTTTTTGCATTCGATTTATATTTTAAGTGGTGGTAACAACCTATTTGACGTCAAAAGTCGTCGCTCTTTGTGTAAGAAGACCAACGCGCTGTTCGTTATCCGAGTTTAGCAGCCTTAGTTTGGCTCAAATTAATAACAATAGCGTTGGTAAACAGGACCTTTTTCACGATTGTCTAAACTTTTCTTTTATCTCTTGGCTGTTGTTTTCAATCCAATCAAACAGTATATCTCAATATCCTTAGAAATGTTATTAGTAGGCCTATAAATAAAACGACAAGTCTTATCAAACTAACGAGTTGGTGCCATGTTTTATTCAGTATCTTATTCAACCGAATTACACTTTCTCTCTAACTCTATCTCATATTATTATTTCAGAATAGTTATAGCTGGAGCGCAATACAAAGATTCCAAACTTGGGTTTGCTTCTTATTCCAACTATGGACCGTGTGTGAATGTTATAGCTCCGGTAGGTTGTTTGTTAGGAAATAGCTAGTCTAATAGAAAACGGCTTTACTATTTGTATTTGATCATATTGTGCACTAAATCTCTGTTGCACATCTCGTAAACATGTGGATTGTGCGAATAGTATGGGTATTGTTGAGCACGTTTTAGCTTTGCGAATCCCATACTATCTAATCAAAATATTAAGCCAGTATATGTCAATTACATTATTTCACGATGTATATTTTTAGTCTGGTACAAGATACCACAGTGAATATTTTTCATTTCAGGGAACTAGTATATTAGGTGCGAGTCACAGCTCCAACGCTGGAACTACCAAATTAGATGGTAAGTACTGGCGATTTCTGCTGGTATGTTTCGTGTGTCTTATAATGTAAAAATTCCTATTTGGTAATTGTAGACAATATACTTTAATTTTTTTCAGAATTTTATAGATCTTAATTAAAACTCACATTATTTAACGTTTTTTAGAAGAGGTGCTTATTTATTGTCTCTCAGAATCAATTTATTTTTTTTTTCGTTTTTTTCTGTAATATATTTCTATGTCTTTTTAGTCCCTTTATTTTAGGTTCGTATGTAAGAGGCACTGAGAAACTTATGAAATGCGCCATCAAATGCTTCGTTCTCTATACTTCACACTTCACACTGTTTAGCTACCAAAGAACTGTTACTGTTACAATGATATTATATTTTATTATAACCTTTGATATTATGGCATTTCTACACGTACCTAAAATCATTAATTTGATCATTCAGGTTCGTCACAAGCGACCGCCTTTGTGGTAAGTGGAACAGTTTCCCTGGGTGTTTTTGCGTATGGGGGATACTTCCTTCAGGAATTGTTGTTTGTATAAATGTTAACCAAGGAATGAGTGTTTTCCTCACAGCTATGCCCACCAAGCAACCTCATTTCTTAATCAAAGTGGTGATAACACACTTTCTTCACAAGTAAATCTGAATATGTTAAACTTACAAACTATAAACGTTCATGCTGACACGCTGGGAACTAAGTTCGCACACTGCGTTTGATTACTGCATTTTTCCCTTCATCATGCATATATATTGATTCATACAGCTTGTTTTGCCATACTTTCAGAGTGGTGCCGCTGCCTTGTTCTTGAGTGCCATGCCAAATCTCACACCGCGGGTGGTGAGCATGTTCTTGCACTTGTGGTGAGTTCATTCTCTTTACGGTCCCAGGGGTACTTGATGCCAATTTTTATGTTAGTTCAACTGAACATTATTATTATTATTATTATTATTATTATTATTATTATTATTATGAGAGTAAACCGTCACAACCTGTAATCCCATCACGGTCAGAATTGATATGTAAGGCTAGCCTATATACATTCATTTAGCAGTCCATTTTATTAAATTTTTAAAAAGACGACTTTATCTGTCGTATTTATATTTATTATCCAGGTCCACACACGGGATAGTGCAGTCGGTGCCCAGGGATACTCCCAACAGAATGTTGTACGCCGGATGTTGATGCCTCCGCGTCGTCAAATAATAGACAGTATAAAAGAAAATGTCCTCTACTTGTAAATGCTCTTTTTGTAAAGAAAAAAGGCAGGAATTTCAATTGTCGTCGTGATTGATTTCTGATCAGAACCGTTTGCAAGCTGCTTCATGCACGAGCCTGCAGTTTAGAGAGTCGGAGAGCACGTGTTGATCATACCATTCTTGGATGTACATTTACGAAAAGACTTACACACTTACACTGTTATAAAGACACAGATTAGTATAAACACCACAGAAAACAAAAACAAAATAAACATAAACTGGATATACAAAACGCAGTGTATTACTTCCTTCGATAAAAAAGATCGTAAGATAAAGAAATGTGCCTTCAACTCTGAACTAAAAATTCAAGCGAGGAATGTGTTTTTCATTTATAACTTAAACGAAAACGATTTAAAACAACGTGAATAAATATATATGTGAAAGAAAACGTTTTTTTTTCTTTTTGTAAATTGGCAAGATGAAAATACTTGTATAGCATGCGTTTTACTAGTATGCATGCATCCATATACCACACTCGTGAGTTTTTTTTTAACAATAATAAGAATTAATCACAGTGCAATGCAATATGATATGCATTTACCATACAATACAAAATAAAATGTTGAGTCGAAACAGAGACGTTGATATGAAATACTGAAGAGTTCATCATGCTATGATAAATGCCTGAGATTATTATTGATCCAGTCACGCATTTGCATGATTACATTTCTTGATAACGTCTAAGAGGCACAGTCACAAGTTCATCAGTTGGGAATTATAACGCCTAAAACACCTTTTGAGTGCAGCAAATATTTTATAGAGGTCACAGATCGATGTCAACGTAACATATTTTTTCAGTCTACACTACTGCCACTGTGTGTCGTTCGTGTCGCCAGGTACGGTAGAGAACTGATACTGCTGCCCCCCTAGTGTCGAACCTGAATCACTTAGGCGATCGCTGAACACGCATGTTAGAACGTATCTTTTAATTGTGACATTTTTTTTTTGCATACGACAGAACATCTTCATGTTACATGTATGCTCCTGAATATTTCTCTGCTCTTGTGTTTCTTTTATTGTCCATTTGGGGTTGCCACATTGGTTTAGGACGTCCCTGATGTTGTTTAATTCTGTTTTCCTGTCTTTCTCCTTACTCACCAAGTTGACCTGACTACCCCTGGGTTGTGTTGAATGGGACAGTGGGAAGTGAGATAAGACATACTGGATGTATGGGTCTTTTTCCTGCACATCTCTACCACTCAACAAAATTTCTGTGACGTTAAAAAAAGCTCTCGCACATTGACGACATTTACAAATCGACACCTACATGTATCTGTGAGTTAAATTTAACAGTGGTTTGTGACAAAAGAACATTTGAGGTCCTAATATACAGTAATTTGAACGAAACTGCTGTGAATAGTCGCTTGTCTGTCATTTTGGCACATATTTTAATTGCTGTTTCTCCGTAAAGCACTGTTAGCACATTACCATTTAAACTTGAACATAATAAAATCTGTCATCAAAGAAACTATAGAAGACACTGGTATTCCTACTACACCATTGTCTTTTTCATACGTATATGATCCTATCCAGCGATAAAAAGCTTCCCGTGGATCTATTCGTGCGCGGCCACGTGTTTTGGGTGGACTTTCCCGCCCCGTGCATGCAGAGGTCAAGGCTGTATACATGGCTGCTATCTCCGTGCAGTTCTGCGTGCTTCTGCCGCTGAAAGAGGTCCTCAAACAACATATTCATGTACATCTTTTGCTGGTATAAATCTCGGTTTTTCTTGATTCTAAAAGAACAGAAATATCATTTCAGTGATGCTTCTGGGTAAGATTTGAAGTTGTAATAATAATAATAATAATAATAATAATAATAATAATAATTTATTTCTTTAAAATGGTATGTTAGTCCGCGTATCCACCTTGGTTGTAAATACCGCCCAAGATCCGCCCAAGATAGGCACTGAAATATATATATATATATATATATATATATATATATATATATATATATATATATATATATACTTAAATACTTGCCTCTTGTACAGTTTGCATGACAAGCAGGACACAATGATAAGGGTCATCATGCAAGCAGACATAATGGCAACTAGCGTACTCAGCCTCACTTTCCCTGTAAAATAAATTAAAATACGTAATACCAAATTAATCTTAAATGGAACTTCATATGTTTTACCGAGTCATATGTTTTACTAAGACAGTTCCATATATTCTTGTTTTTTTACTGGATAAGATCAAATTGAATGTACAAGACCGTACCAATGTTTATGAATGTTACGTATGTCCATATAATCCCATATTGTAATACCACATATTTACCCATTTACCTATGATTATTTTATTCCATATATCTTTCTGTGGACTTTTTGCTCTTTTTTGTTTTGTCGTATTGCCGGGTTGTATGCCGCCTGTTTCTCTTGTATTCTGACTTTTAATGGACCCTGTTGAGTGTCCATCAAACAAATTATTTGTTGAATTCAAACTATTTTTGGATATCTCGTCAAAATCGGAGCCATCCGTTGTACTCTGTGATATATCTTCTGGAGTTGCCAAAATGGCTGCCATTGTGGTTTGGTCTCTTTCTGATAGCGCACCGCTTATTGTAGACCCATTTTCTAAGTCCTGAGCCGTATTTGATGAGTATTGTTTCACGTGAGCTGTGGTCACAGTGTCAGTTTGACTTTTTGTGTAAAAATATGAGTCTGTTGTAGTCCTGATATTTTGAAAAATATCGTCTGTAGTCTGTATATCCATTGCTTTGCTGGTAACGTTCTCCAAAATGGCGGACGTTGTAAATGTTCCCACTGCGTAGGAATCTGGAACAGAAAACTAATAAATGAAAAATGTACATTTTTGTATGAACGGTCATCAAGAAATAAAATATGCAAAATTATTGAATAATATCGTCTATATATAATTTTGGCTTGTATAAAATTGTGTATTTATAGCTAACGTCCTGTTTTGGCAACTTCAAATCATATCAGTATCTTTTCTAGAAAGATCAAAATGAAAGATTAAAGTACTTTGAATATTTACATCTGATGTGCTACCTATTTTTACAGGCAATAAGTACAAGTAATATTCTATATAACATGCCAAAAAATGAATCTATTGCAAATTTATCAATATATATTCTAGTTTTTCTATGTAATTATTACGATTTGCATAGTTTTAGAAATCAAAATGAAATAAAGAAAGAAGAAAAGAAAAAAACATTAAACAATTGTTCTCAAATTTGACGCAACAAATGTCACCCTTGTACACATTTTAAAATTCCCTTACTCTACTAAGGACATCAATCACCCCCCGCACGCAATATGACACATGACAACCCCGCGTGCCTCTCCGTCGTAATAGGGATCACCCTAAAGAGGTCACAACCCACCCTGTTATGTCCAAAAAATAAAACTTAATGCCATATCAAGAAAAACACAGTGACATCTATGAAGAAAAACACAGTGACCCTATATGACTGGCGAGCGCCACCCTGTTATGTATACATATATACTGATAGCTACTGGTACAAGAAATGTAGAGAAGGAATATAAAACGACATCATCTCCTGATATCTCCTGACTTTTACCATAGAATGTCAGAGGTATGTTATACGCATAATGACTCTCAACTCTGATGTTAAACAATGCTGTGAAGTGCACACACTAGCACACACACACACACACACCGAACAATACAACATAAACTACTGATAAATAAAGGCGCAGAATGTCTCACATATAATTATCCATATAGTTTTCAACAGTAATTGCCTTTAAAAACGCCTTTAAAAAGTTATTCATGGTATTTGTATTTTAACCGTCAAATGAGATGACTTAGCCCAATGTTGACTACTATACTGCAGTAAACTGGACACTCCCCTGGTATTTGCCTTGTCTGTAAAACCATTAAGGAGTTTTACAAGAAGAAGATATACTCTCTGGCCACAGGTGCGCTAGGAATACGATACAAAATTCTTGTATCGCTTACTTTACTTATTTTGTATACCATTTTAGAAGCCTCTGATATCAGAGGGTTGAGGAGATATCGTTTGGGGGTGGAGCCCGTTTGCCGCTCTCTCACTAGTCGGAATGACTAGAGTGTTGAAAACATTAGAAGACAATGTCTGTAAGGCTTTCGTTTAATTCTCGTTTTTTTTTTTAAATCTTTGGTTTAACTGAGGCCCCATGGAAAATCCACATACCCGATACGTACTTGCGACTGTCTTTATTTCTATTTGTGAAACTTTTGAATTACTGGAAACTTGTTTATGCTAAGACATACTAGTATATTTTATTTCTATACAATCTCTCTGAATTTATTTGCTTTCAGTTATGAACAATCTAACACTGTAAAACAATCTTTCATTAACTCGCCAGCCTGCTTCTACAGTTGTACACTAAAGCAACAGAAGGAAAACAGTCTAGGGGAGTACTGAATACCCCTACCCTCTACCAGGGCCGCAGATTAATTTTAAAAGTGCACTTTTCCGTGGCAGTGAAGCAGAGAAATATGTGCCATGATTTAGCCAGAAACATATCTGTGAATTTCATTCATTAATTTTTCAAAATATCTGTTATATCAATCTGTGATTCTAGTAGAGAATAAATCGCATACAACCGAAAATGCCCCCAGTACAAGATGAACATGAGGTTCTCATTGAAATTCCTTATTCACATACATGTACATGTGCAGTGTACTAACTCATTTTAAATTGTAAGTGAGTCGACATTTATGTGTCTTACCTGTTGTGATCAGCCAAAGGAGGCAAATATCGACAATTACCAAAGCGAAATAATCCCCCATAGTCCTATAAGGTGGTGTCAGCAATACATGTACCTCTCCGGTGGGCGGAGTTAAACTTCATCCCATTTGAAAGGAGATCACAGAAAATCGAAAAGGCGTTTTTGAGAGCGACTTCATGTGCATCCTCATAAAACGTATCACAGGAAATGTTTATAAGTCCAGGTTGTATCCGCTGTTTTTCGTACAATGCTGTTACTCTCCACTTCACATGTTTAAAACCAAGGCGTGATTTATGATAACACGGGAGCTTTGTGTGGCTACCCACCACCACCGGTGACTGATGCTGAGATTGCTAAGAAGATAGCGGGGAGCGTTTACATAAGCCGAAATTCTGAGCACACTGCACTGGAGCGCATCCACGTGATTGGAGATGGCTGACTTCACTCGCACTTCACTCGAACGTTAAGCTAGCTAACTAACAGTAAGCTGGACTTTAAAAAACCAACTAGAGATTTTTGCAGACTTGGGAACTACTAGTTAAAAAACTTTCATGTGGGATTGGAAGAATGTAAGTGTAGATAGACAAGTTAGCAATACAAGAGACAAGATGGAGAATTTTTGGCGACCGCGTGAACGGTACCAAAAATGTAACTTAAATGTGCATGACTAAAGCAATATCGCGCAACCGCACTTATGAGATAAACTTTATAATGTTCTTTTCTGTGGCATTAGTTTTTATTTAAAAGCAACGCAGAAATTCTTTATAACGATGTTGTTTACATGTCCTTGTTTTCTTTCTAGCCTCTGGAGTGATTTTAATCGATTAAAAATATTAAAAATAATAAAGGTGCGTAAAAAAGAAATTTTCTTTTGATCAATAAGTTGTCATAAATTGGTTCCAAACTTAAAGCTCGACAAAAAATATAAACATATATGAAAATATACAAACGTACACATTAGTATTTAACTTAAATTTTTTTACAAGTTATTTAGATTTATGTACACTATACACCTCCAGGGAGGAAGGAACACAGACAGTCCCGGTGTGTTTAAACCATTTCCGTGTATCAAAACATTTAGTGTAATCATCATGTGTCTACTTTATAAATACCCATATTGTAGATTGGTCTGATGATAACGCAATAACATGATTTCCTTTTAACATAGGACACCATGTTAATCCTGACTGAGCATGTTTTGTTAATGCTCTCAGTATCAACCAGCATTGGCATGCAATATTTTCCAGGCGTGCACATTGGTGTTGATAATGATGATGGTGATGCTTAATAATAATAATAATAATAATAATAATAATAATAATAATAATAATAATAAAAGACATAACAATACATGTAGTCATTGGAGCTCTGGGACTTGTGAAGAAGGGATTAGAGAAATACACCGACAAAATCCCTGGAAACATCAACATCCACGAAGTCCAGAAGATAGTCCTCCTCGGAACAATACACATACTACGGAGGGTGCTATCAATGAAGTAGAAAGGAACAACTACCCTCTAGCGCCTCAGGACCATTGTTTGGACCCGGCTCTTTAGGACTTAATAAACAACGCAGAAAGAAAACTAAATAATAATAATAATAATAATAATAATAATAATAATAATAATAATAATAATAATAATAATAATAATAATAGAGTTAATATTACCATTATATTACCATATTTTCGGAAAATGTAAGTTGTGCTGTACTCTTCACTTTTTATGTTTTAAAAATCATAGCAAAATATATTTTCACAGGAAGCATAAGCTTCTCTTGGTTTACTGAACCGTCATTCCGCTGTTCGGATGCAAGCATTTTACACCTCTTTTCACCTGCTATGTGGCTCTACACAGTAACATATTGAAGTGAGTATTTATCAAAAAATTTACACTCAGTGTTATGGAATGGAATAACTGGTACAGGTTTTAATTAAGAGAATAACAAGATTATTGTGCTACAGTCAGAAAACTCTGAATAACCGCTGCAGATTTTGCACAGCAGACCATAAGTCAAAGACTAGAGCACTTTCGTCTTGAAGAATGATGACTACTGCTGCATTTACTAATAATGATATTTTTAAAGAACATAGAACTAGCCATATATTTAATTGGCTGTCTAGTACATGGCGTGGGTTGAATGGCTTTTTTTTTTTATCTTGCCAGCTTATTATTCAAACCAAATTATTCTCGGATACTGTAGCCGTAGGAGTAAATGTGAATAACAGTCCTGTCTAGTTGATGACGTTGTGTGCCATCTTTGAAACTACAGCCCAGCTGGAATATTGAGAAGGCAGATAGATGAACTATTCTCAGTCTTGTTGCATAATCTGCACGGGTGATAACCTATCAGCCTACCCCATGTCTTGGACAGGGGGAACCTTAACCCCCCCCTCCCCCATACCTGTATATGTTTTTTTTGTCATCAAGTGGGCTTTAAAGTGACATAGGACTGGATAACTAGTCTTACATACACAGGATTAGACTAAGTTGCAAACTGATAAATATATATTGAAATGGAAAATGTTTCTTGTTCAAATTTTTCAGACCAAGATGACTTCTGAGGAAAAACCAGTGGAACTTCTTCCTATTGATATTCACTATAACAAATTACTGGGTAGGTGTTGACCAGGGTTGATGTAATTAATTAATTATTTAATTAATTGATTATTTAATTGAATTTGATTCTGGTATATTCTGCCTATGTTCTAGTTAATACTACAGTCTTTGTTAAATATGTGAAACATTTATAAAACATAAATTTGAAATGGGATTTCTGATTACCTGTATATAGGCAAAGAAAAGTTGTTAAGATGCAGTCAATTTGGACCAGCAGATAATAATTTATTTCAGTAGTTCTTTTCTTTATTTTTATTTTATTTAATGACATTTCAGATTGGCTAATAAGTAGACGGCATTGTAACCACCAATGGCAGGCTTCGGCTCTTTTGATTCGTGAAAAAATAAATAATGCAATTCAAGATATGCCTGAACAGGAGGAAATAACCACACTTCTGACTGGGACATGTGAGTGAGAACATTTTTATTATCAGTTATTTTTATATTTATTATCATTCCCCATTGATGTCAGTTTTATGGCCATATAGTAATATAATTAGATTAGCACTGAATTGAAACTAAGCTTAATGTTGATATGAAAAAAATCTCATCTCTTGTTCAAAGATAGACCTTATGTGAACTGACCTCTGCTTGTCCTTCATCTTTAGTCAGCCATTTTCCTTTCCAGACATAAACTATTTCCACTGCAAAAGAATTGTAGAACTGCTGAAAGAAACTGAGAAGAGCACAAAGAACATCTTTGGGAGGTATAGTTCTCAAAGGATGAAGGTGAGTATAGATATGTTTAGTACTGAATGTTGATGATAATGAAGATTTAAATATATAGAAAGAGTATTTAGAGTCTTTTACGTGGACTTGCAATTTATACTAATTCATCATTTGTATAGTAACCTGAAGATTGGAAACTGAATTTATTTTCATCTAAATTTTGAAAATATACATTCATAATAAACATTGTGTTTATTATAATACTAAACCATCTTTTCTGCATTTGAAAACCTAAAAACCATCAGAATATGATTAAAAAATGCATTATTGGAGCATATTTTGATTGGTTATTTTCAGGACTGGCAGGAAATTGTTTCTATGTATGAAAGTAATGGAGTTAATCTTGGTAAGTGATCCATAGATTTGTCTATTATTTGTATCAATTAGTCACTGCAGTTAAAAAAACTAATTGAATCCATGTGCACCAGGGTTTTAATTTTACCATTTTATGATTGTGTCGCTATATTTACATTGCAATAGGGAGTCATATTTTATTTCATCAAAGCTTGGAATCTTTAACCAATATTAACATCCAGTTTATCATGGAATGTTTGAAAAAGAAACTATTTTTACTTCCATATTTAGCCGAAGCAGCTCAAATGCTTATGAGGAATGTGAACTATGAGATCCCCTCCTTAAAGAGACAGATAGAAAAGTGCCAGAAAGCACAGCAGGTCTGTTAGCATTGATCTTAGAAAGAAAAACTGAAACAGTTTTATTCTTACTATGAAATGGGCATTTTATGTGTCACATGTATAATGATGGGAAGAGAATTATGATCAATCATGTGATGAAGGTCGAGGTTTTCTGATGAAGGATAAAAATCATGCCTATGCCTCACAAAAAATATATATATATATTTAAAAAGAAAAAATTAGTCAGGCAAATTAATATTTTTTTACCACTTAGTATCTTTTTATATCAGTATTATAAAAGTTTTATTCCAGTTGTCCAGACATATATATATATAAAATAAGTCAAATGAGAAATTGTATGTATTTTGTCAGGAATGTACAAGAAAAGAGTCAGACTATGCATCACAAGCTGTGGAACAGAGAGAAAAATTCTATGCTTCTTGTAAACACATGGGAATAGAGGTATGTAGAAGGGCAGAATTGCATTAGAACGGTACTCTTAAGGCATCGATGTGTCAGAACATTTATAAGACATTTCGGGATCATCCACTTTTATCATCATTTTCACAAGTCTACAAAGTATCAATAATTTTCAGTCCCTAACCCCCCCCCCCCCCCACACACACACACACTTAAGAGCACACAAACTGACAAGCTAAAAATGATGGCCTTTGACAGCAATTCTGAGAATTATTTTGATTATTTTTCAAAAGTGTACAGAAGACATTAATACCTCCCCCTAGCTTATGGTTATGGTACTGATAGTAAAAACTATGACCCCCTAATGATAAATTAGTTAAAATTGTTACATTTAAGTGTCTTTGACCAGAGTTTGTCAAGCTTTTGCCATGGGCCGTACATAAAAAACTTCATCCTCTCTTTTCTGTTGTTTTAGGGAAAGCGAGTGAAAACAGAACTGGTAGCATTGGTAAAAGATCTTCCTGCTGTGTTAGAGGGTGTGGCAACTGTATGTAAAGAACTACAACCAGCCATGGATTACTACAAGGCTTTTATAGACTTTACTCTTGATAGGTATGTATAAAGTCGGGGGGGGGGGGGGGGAGATACTAATACTCATGAAACTGACATTTCCTCCTTTTGGGGGTGACTTAGGCCAGTTCTGGACCAGATAACTTCAGTTGTTATGATATGATTTATATTAATTATACATTGTCAGCCATTTTTAAAACAGGCTGAAACTAGAACTGTAAGAACAAACTTAATTTATTTTAAGTTCACTGTAAAACAAACCTTTTGTTTTGCTATGTGAGTAGAAATGTTTTATTCTAAATAATATGATTATTTTCACAATGTGAAGCAATGATTAAATTATATCACTTAGTATCTTATGGCAAGATCAAGATAACAAATGGAAAGTAGACTTGTCGTTTACATAATTTGACAGTAGGAATTCTCATTCTCTTAATTTTAGGTCAGATTTTTCAGTCCTACCACTCCTTGGCCATGTGGTAGACAAAGGTAACAGCACAGTGTATGAGTGGAGGACAGGAAACAAGCCAGACACAGTGGAAGAAATCACATTTAATTATGTTGTGGAAGATGAGGAAGTGATAGGGGAACAGGAGGATGTGGAGGTGAGAGGCTTTGAGTGGGATGAGATTCGGTGCATTGTGTTAGATGAGAAAGATAGGTGAGATTTTGTTCATTGTGTTAGATGAGAAAGATCAGTGTGGTTTCATATATTGTGTTAGATCAGGAATATGAGATTTTGGTCATTGTGTTAAATGAGAAACATGGATGATATTTGATTGATTGATTGATTGATTGATAGAGAGAGAGAGAGAGAGAGAGAGAGAGAGAGAGACATTTGATAATGATAATGTGGTACAACATAACATGAGGAATTGCCTATTAAAATATTGACTGATGAAAATTGTTTTCTTCCAGATTGACTGGGGAGATCCAGTGCTTGATACAGGAGGGGACTCCATTGACTTTGGGGATGATGTAAGTTTTTTTAAGTTAAAACTGTTTGTTATGTTGAAATATGTTTTTCATTGTCTACACATGTATTGTTTCATGATGATAAAAAACTTACTGTTTCCAAAGAGATCTTGACTTAACGCAGTATTGTGATTATTTTTGAATTTCAATGAATTCTGTGGAAGAAAAAGCAATTTCAACACAAGTCATAAGTTAAGGGTAAATTTTACTACAGAATTAGATGTTTTAATTAATTGTGATAACATTTATTTATTTCACTTACTCTGGACTTCATGTTGAACTTATGGTACAGAAAGTATGATTTGTTTCCCTTGACATATCCTATGATTTCTAATACTGTGTGCAGATAGCAATAGAAGTGAGTGCAGAAGGGAGCGCAATCGACTGGGGGGCTGGCGATGTCACTGTGGAGAGTAGCTCAGAACAGGAGGGTGGGTATCGTTGGACACTCTAATTGACTCTTGGGATTATGTGGCTTCAATGCTTTACCATTTTGAATGTATTTTGAATTTCTGAATCTTACCAGTGGCTGGAAATATTGAATTGGCAACATTCAGCTTAAGAAATTCTTGTCTGCTCTTACTTAGCCTCATTCATATACAGTTATTAATACTCTCTAAAATCATTAAAAACTGACTTTTCCACTTCCCAAAACATTGTTCTGCCTAGGGTTGAAAAGTTATGAAGACTTGGATAAGTATAAGTAACTAAAATGTTTTTAATAATTTGTAAAAAAAAATGAAGAAAAATGTCATACATAAATTTTCTTCATAAAAAACTGAGCTGTACTAAATATTGCTGTCAGTGATAAGTACTTGAAGTGGTTGTTTGTCTCCAGGTAACACAGCCAAAGGTCCAGATGCCATTACAGTGCTGGATGCACCTTCCACTAGGAATCTGTTTGTTGATGACTTAATGGAGGTGCGATCAATAGATTAATTTGTAATTTTTGTAGCATTTGGTCAATCAACTATGCAGCCTTCACTTTAAAGCATATTGGTAGGCACTTCAGAAAAACAAATGCACTGTAATTCTTTACTGAATTTTAACAATTAGAATATTTATACAATTAATTGTAATAAAATTGTTTTTCCCAAATTTATTGTATTTCCAAAATTTAAAAAAAAATCATAAAAATAAAATGGAGCTTTGGATTCAAATCAAAAAGTGCTGTTTTGAGTGCTGTACAGTTATATAGAAAGTTTTGGACATGATACAATATTTGGAATAAAAGGGTCATTTATAAGTACATAATTACAACAATAGTACTCAAACAGTGCAATGTAGGAGGGGGGGGGGGGTAAAACTAACATAGCAGAAGATGTTTATGAACATGAAGCCTTACCTCCTATGTTTTCATTGCAGTTGGAGTGCTTCCTTAAACAACGTCTGTCCGAGACCAAATCAGAGTCCGACTTCCTATCCAGCAGCCAATTCCAGAATGCCCCGCCCTCGGTCCAAGTGTCCGCGGACCAACTGACCAATATGAAGAACAGAGTGACCGATATCGTCAGCCAGATGACATCCAATAAGATGAGGGAATTGTTTATGATTAGGAGCTCACCAAGGTATGGTGGTTTTATATATGGATTTTAGAATTATATATAAATATATGACTTTATATGGATTTTACAATGATACATTGTACCAGACATTGAATACCAAACTCTGATAGTCAGCAAATGGTCAATAAATATTCCTATATAAATAGTCACTAGGTATCCATTACAGCATTAATGGTCAACAGACATTTTCAGTACATAACTAGTTTCCAATAGATATCCTCAATGTGTAATTATTCCTTAGAATATTAAGTTGGTAGATACCTTCAGTAGATATCCTTTAAGTTTCCAACATTGGTAGTCAATAGATATACTTAATGTATATTCTTTCCAACATTCATCTGTGCTAAATTTGGCCTACTTGGATCTCATTGTACATGAATCATTCTCAGAAAACAATCCAATCACCCTGCAGCATAAGTCTGGACCAAATAAGGATGTTTCTTTTAAGAAAATATGTAACCACAGGATTACTGCTTTATCAATCTATTGTGTTCTTTTTAAAACTCTGTGTTTCAATTTCTAGGTACGTAGATCGCCTTGCTGAGCAGTTAAAGAGTGTCTTGTCGATGTCCGAGAAGATGGAGGCGTCCAAGAGGCTGATGGTTCAGAAGAGGGCCGAGGCACTGGAAGAACAGAGAGCCACAGAGCCCAAAGTGGGGCTGATCAGAGAGAAGACAAAAATATTGCAGAAGCAGGTATGAAGAAGTGTGTGTGTGTGTGTGTGTGTGTGTGTGTACGTGCATGTATATTTGAGGGGTGTTCACTATCGGAGTATTAAATCTTTTGTCTTGATTTTTAACTTATTAAATGACTTTTTCAGGGCAGGTTTTTAATGCCTTTTAGTATCAAAACAAATAGTTTTTGACACTTAATCATTTGTGTTCCAGATAGAGAAAGAGATCTCCAAAAAATATCAGAACAGGCCAGTCAATATAATGGGAGAGATCAACACAATATGAAGGAATGCCAACAGCCAGTTTATTGGTTAGAGAAATATGGTTCTGAAACCACAGTCACAGTTACCTTATAAAAATTTTATTTATTTTGCTTCCAGTAAAAAGGTACATTTCTGTATCAGATTGCACTGTACAGTAAGTATTGAACATAGGTGTGATATGGACCTTTCAGATGTGAGCTCAGCATGTTTGAACTGAGAGGAGGCATACGTGGCACAAAAGGTCTGAAATTGCCACTTCAAATAAAACCTTGCCACAAAATAAAATAGGAAGCATTGACTATTTGGTGACAATGGTCTGGGAACCAAACAATTGTTTTCTTTTGATTCTCACATCATTTAGATCTTTATAAAACAAAGACTGTTCTCATGGTGTAATGGACTGTATGCTGTCATTAGAAGTCTGTATTATGTGCTGAATATACAAGAAATCTATTGTTTTAATATGACAGTTATCTTTGTGGTGGCATGAAATGAACATTCCATATTCATAGCGTTTTCTTTGCCTGTTAAGATAAATATGGCATTCAATATCACGATATCTGTCTCTTCTTGTTTATAATAAGTTTAACATTTTTAAGAAAAATCATTTGTAGAAGCATGTCTATGGAGGAAGTTGTGTGGAAACATTCCATTTTTCAAAACGTAATGCTGAAACATGTAAAAATATGTTAAAAGCATGAAATGAACAGTTGATCACCTTGAAATCCTCTTGTATGAACTCTTACCATGTGGTAAACTCCAATGTTCAGATATAACATAAAGACCTTCTGAAATTCATTCAAAATGTAATCAATATATAAACACAGAGACGGCGTAAATCTTAACAACCAGTTTTTATTCTAATTTTCTCTATCACTCTGCAAGGATAGTACACCATTGCAGCAATTATAATCATTAATCAAAACATTCAGTGGAAGAAAACCATAATAATAAAACACTTTTAAATTAATCAACACATCATCTGTACTAATGGACCATATCAAACTGCAGAAAAATGATAAACAGAACAGTTGCAATTTAATACACAAAGGGAACCTCCAAACACAGATTGTAATAAGTACTAATGAATACAACCAATAATAAGTAACATTTAAAAGATCACACTTGAAATTGAAGTGTGTGTGGAAAGGAAAGTTAGAAAATGGCAGTGCTGTTTAAAATTACAATTAAGAGGGAAAAAAGATTTTTTTAATTACACTTTTTTACATAACACATTTCTGACTTGGTATTATCTATTATAATCATCATATATTAATTAAATATAAAAAGAAACTCAACCTGGGTAAGTGGCAGTGGTATTTGCCATGGTCACATTTCTTTCAAATGAGATATCCATGGTTTGTGAGAACATCTTTTATCAAGTTTTTAGTAAGACAGTCATCAAGCAAGCACAGGTGTGTCAGGGATGGGGGGGGGGGGTGTCAAAGACATTTTATCAAGAAAGCAGGCATAGGCCGGAAGAGAGAAATAAACTTCTTGGTGAGTTTTATTATCAACAGAACACAACCAACATGATAACTTAATAAAACAAACCTACAGGCCTATGAAAATGAGCATCTAAAAAACCTTTATGATAAAAATCTCTACAACGGGTCTGTATCATTTTAGTCATTAACATTTTTCTAAAACTAATTCTTAACAAGCACCAGTTCAAAAACAATATTATAGTTTTTGCAAAAACGGCAACAATCTTGGTGTCACAAAATATAGAACTTTGAACATTTGTATACATGTTTGGTGCTACTGTGTGCAATGTATGTTATTTACAGCATAATACTACAAGAGGCCATCCTTCTTGACATTGGTCTAAGTCAAAATGCTTCTTGTTCTGTCACAGTGTCATCATGTGTACTGGAAGAATTGATCCCTTTCCTTTTTTTTTCTAATGAAAATAAATAAACGACTCTGCACAACTAGCTATAGGGTTTGCTGGTCAATAAAACTAGCAGCTTATCATTAATATTTTTTTCAATTAATTTTTTCCTGTTGCATGGGGTAAGAAATTGCTGTCGCTGAGCAGTTCTAATAGTGGAAATGATGGACATGAACAACTTTCTCCATTAAAAGCACGAAAGCTCAAAAACAAAATTTTATAACGTCTTTTTTTTTTTCTTTTTCAATCGAGTTCATCAATCAATTTTATTACATAAATTACTATCATTGCTGTTACTGTCATTAAAAAGCCTAAAATCGGATCTAATTATATATTTCAATTTTTTTAATTCAGGGATTATTTATTAAACTGTGACATAATTAAAGCCACCAAATTCTCTGAGCATCAATGACAGTTTTCACTGAATATACTAAATACCATTTTCAATGCATGAATATTTCAATTTTACAGTTGAAGTTGAGGAAAAAAAGTTTTAACAATCACTTGAGGGCATTTGAGAAGTACCCGTGCAGATAGCATGCTTTAGTGCATGCACATAAACAATAGATGGCACCACTAACAATGAAACTACCACTCCCCTGCTACAAGCAAAGCGGTATATTATAGTAAGGTTGAACACTATTAAAACATGTCAGCTACAGCAGTGTTTGCTACTGTAAACCTGAATTTGACACTCTATCAAAACTACGAATAAGAGTGTCATTGTTATGACCAATCTGAATATATTAAAAATTATCATTACATATCATATTTTGAAAACATATCAGTGGATGTACAAGGAAACATTCCAGGTTAAAATCACAACACGCCTTATTCACATGATGATGGTAATAGTGGTGATGATGATTCACATATAAAAGAACTGCAATACAAGTAGCTAGACAACACATGAGACAAGCACTACCGATTTTAAAATATAAAGATTTATTTGACATATATTAACATGTGACCATTCCTTTCTGGCATTTACCCAAAAAGTTCATTCTTCAAAAAAGTCTCAACTACTGCCAGTCAACTACAGCTACTGTCGCAAAGACATACAAAGAGCAAAATTGCAATCAATTTTACATACTAGTATTATTCCAGTTCCTGTATGCAGCATATGAGTCTCAGACTGGGGCTAGTAGGGACATGGAAAAAGTGTGTGGGAAGATTGGACCAATAGTGTTCAAGCTTTGCTTTTGGATGAGGTTTTATCTAAGATTGGACTACTTGTGACAAGTATTTTTAGTTAAAATTGTTCTTCTTTGGTTAAAACCCTTTTTCTTGATAATGACATAAAACTATTCATTTCGGCCTATTATAAACAGTGCATTATAAAAGCTGGCAAGGTATCATGTTTTATGTTTGGCAAAAAGCAATTTATCTGCTAGTAACCTATTAAATCTTCTGGTAACCTAGAATTGCCACTAATTGTAATAGCTTTAAAACCTCAAACATCTGATTTGAACTGTATTGTATCATCTCATGATCAGCAACAGAACATATGACAACAGAGAACAGTGACCAACACACTAGATACTGTGGTCAGCATACTGGATGCTGTGACCAATATGCTGGACACTGTTACCAACATACTGGACACTGTGACCAATATTCTGGATACCGTGACCAACATATTGGATACTGTGACCTAAATGCCACAAATATCTATAGTAAGTCAAATACATAAAAACCCTATTCTACAATAATGTAACAGTGCTATAACCCATAACAGTGTGGTAACTACAATATATAACAGTGCTGCAAAAAGGCAAACAAGACATTTAAGTACACAGCAGTAACAGGTTCATGATAAACAATAACAATACAACCTCAACTTGGTTTCCATTAACAAAGTTAAGAGACGGGGTCAAAATGACACTGAACAATGTGAATATAAACAAATAAACAAATATATGATATAAAAAAAAGTAAAAAGGGACTTTACAAACATTTCACAAAATGAAAACAAAATAATGAATATGATAAACATTTACAAAAATAGCATTATAACATAGTCTGCATGAATTACATTAAAACACAATCACGACTCTACTCAGGGGACACACACAAGCAATTAAGTTATGTCAGATGAAAACAGAAAACACACCAAACATACCTAGATGCTTTCTCCAAAAACTTAAATAACAGGACTTCAAACATTTCAACTGAGGTAAAATGCATACTGTACTATGTAGACATGTGGATTGTTTGCCAACACACAGAGCAATGGCTTCATCACTGATCTAGTTAATTAATACGTGATTTATTTCACACCCATTTTTTACCCACTATCCCCTTCCCCCTACTTCAGATCCAATGCTTTAGCTTCTACACTGTCAAACCTTCATATGTGGTCCTTATTGGACTCTGAAATTCAGCAGCAAGCTTGATTTAAGTTTTTTTTTTTTTACCCCAATCAGCGTTATAACACATTGTGCATTAATCTCAACACCAATCAGTAATGCTCATTTTGAAATTAGTTAACGAGATTTCATGGTTTCCTACATGAATATGGGACAAATCTAATATCCAATTGAATGTTTCTGATGTTCACACAACAAGAGGCCTAGGACATGCATGGAATCTTGAAAATGAAGAAGCAGACCTGTGTCAGCTATGAAACAGCTAACCTAGTGACCTAATTAGCTAGGGGCAAATTCTCTATCCCTCTTGAAGTGATATACTCAGTACCATATGTACTAGTAGCAAATGCCTTAACCAAGGTATCTGAGATAAACGCAAGGTCTGTTAAGTCATTATCCCTCATTTTTATCATGTTGCACCTATTGCTTGACATGTTTGCTTTCTGTTGACCTACCAATACCATACTATGCTGCATACTGTTTCCTTTGGCAAATGAAGGAAAAAGTCCATGTTGCATGACCTTGACCTGTGACCTAAGTAGCTTGGGGTATGCTGTGTTTGGGTAAACAAAGTCCAAACTTGCTCTCTATGCCTGAGAATGTGGCCAGAGCTAACTTATAGCCTCCGATGTGATCTGGATTAGCGGGCTGCAAGTCTTCAATGGTTGCCTTGTGGGCTGAACCCTCGGGTCGTCTGAAACACAACACAGTAGTCTTGTTATACAAGGTCAAATAAAGGTTGGTTTACAGCCTGATATCCTCAATACCATCTAGATTTATTATCTAAAACAAATACTATTATAAAAATTAACAAACGACCCCAAAAAATTTAAAGTAGATAAATATGTATATTCTTAATATCCTTAATATAGAAAAGCATATCTCAATAAGTAAACAAACACAAATTATGCAATTTGATATAATCATAATAAGATAATATACTACTTAAGCTGAGCATACAGTGGACCAAAGTAAACCACACAAATCTCCGGGGAGCTCACCTTCCTCCAAAGTCCACAGGGAACAGTCTCTGTAGAAGCTCGTACACCACCAGGGTGACACCAAACTGAGGGGACGACCTAAACACACGGGCTGAAATAGGTGATCAAAACAAGGCATTAGACTGAAATCATTTCACCCATCTGGGTAGATTACAGGTAATTACAGAAAGTCAAATGAAGACAGGAATGAAATTGCTGTTTAGCGAAAAAGTTGGGAAATATGGAATAGGGTTAGGTCAGTGAGATTTTTTGGCTCCCAAAAAGTCTGAAATTTGCCCATAGTCGGAAATGATTTATTTCCTGGGGTACATTAGAGAAAAGTTTCAAGAACTCCCGTCACCTGGTCCTCCCTTGAAGAAAGCTTTGCCTCCTTCCTCGCGGAACACTTTCCTTGCACAATCGATGACCCCATTGTACGTGGACTGTCCCTTCCTGGCCTCTACCTGGAGTCTGGTCTTGATCACATCTGCTGGAGTGGCCAGGTACGCCGCGGGACAACCTGTAGAGAAAAACACAGGTGAAAGTTAAGTTTAATCCCCCCTCCTTTCCATACTCAGACTGAGTTTTTTGTTTAATGGGTGCCACCTTCTTCATTTTTAAACTTTTTAATGTGTGTCCTTAATGGATGTTGAGAATCAAAAGCAAGTCTGATGGAAGTTTACCTAGCTATTCACCAGTGCCTACCCGGTTATCTAAATTCCTCTTTGCCCCGATGCTACTTGCGCTGGAGTGTGCTTGCATGCTTGTGTGTGTGTGCGTGCATGCATGTGTGCCCTCTAGCTTCTCCCCCAGTGTGGACACCTTACCTGCAATAGCACCAGCCAGCAGCAGGGTGTATGGAGCATTATAACCATTGGAGTCTGCCAAGGATTTCTTGGTGTGTGCATATGTGGGGAAGTAGATGGCAGAAAAGGGAATATCACGGAGAAAACAGGCTCTGGCACCCTGAAATCATCATTATCATCACCATCATCATTATTATTATTGACACATGTGATATGCTTAGAAATTATATTAATACCATTTCACGCAACTTTAGACAGGTTGATATCTTCATGAAATACTACGATTACAGTATTAGCCACATTATATAACTGTGTTTTAAAGGCTTATATGCTAAACTCACTTTATAAAGCCCAAAGAGACCTAGGTCTCTGATGATGTGTATGGCACTGGGTCGGGTTGCTGAGGCAATCTCACCTGCCACCTGGAGGCGGATTTTGACAATTTCCATTGGATTGGTAAACATCACCTGGGAGGCGCCACCCTGCAAGACAAGACCAAAAACATAAACCCACAATACTACAACAAACTGGTTTAATAGTTTTCATATTTAAATATTGCATATTGTGAAGCAATACTTTTTTTTCAATTCTAATAATATCAACAACAGTGAAAGAGTACGACTTCCTTATTTGGCAAATGATTAAGGTGTGTCTGAAAAGTAATTTGACAGGGTGTACAGTAGGAGTTACTGTGTACGTGGTTTGATACTTAAAACTGACATTACAGGTTTGAGACACCAAACAAATTCCTTTTCAGGTGGACCTTGTATATCATAATATTAGGAAGTCCAACTTAAAGTGTAAACAGGACAATGGTCTACTTACACAGCCTCCTGCAATGATTTCACCTATAAGTGATATTTCACCTTCTTTGTTGGTAAACTTATCTCGAACAAAGTCATTGGTCTGAAATAGTTAGTACACAAGATATCAGTTTACAGAAAGCTACAATTGTTCTTACTATATACTATTATGCAACACATAAAAGCCATCTTTATGATTAATCAACATAAACTAGCGTCTCTTTTCAAAGATTTTAGGAAGAACAAGCTCAAAGCTTCATTTTATGTACTGTCCTTGACCTATTTAACTTAAATGACCTTGACCTACTTACAGTTAGTTTAATGGCCTTTTCTGGTGCTACCCCCATCAGCTGGGGTATTAGACCTCTGTATAAACCACGGAAACCTTCAAATCTAACCACTTTCTTGGCACAGTCCCAGCTATTCTTGTACATTAATTCGCCTACATAGGACCCAGAACGTTGGTTCTGCATCCTTGTTTTCACCAAGTCTATAGGGTACACTGTCGCAGCTCCCACAGCTAAAATAATACAAAACACAAGTTTGGCCATCTCAATACTTACATACTTCCTATTAATTACTAATGGAAAAACAAATTATTCATACAGGAAACTGATGAATCTTTATCTTTAATAAGTTAGACTTGAAAAGATAATGTTAGACTGGCGTGATTCCATGTTTAAGGCTGCGTTCACATGAAAAATCTATTTTCCAAAAAATCTAAAAATCTATTTGCGGTATCTTGTGATCACGGTCTGTGCCCTGAATACCCCACGGCGTAATTACTGGCAGCGCGAGCCAGTTACTTCCAAAGCTGTAATTAATTCTCCGAGGAGATTCTGACACCTTGATGCATGCACAGTAGTATCTCTAAGCTGTGGAGTTCATCAGTTTAGTAATGACAACTCAAGCATACAGATGCGTAATTTTGCTAGTGGTAGTGCTTGTTGTTGCACAAAATCGACAACCACATTTTTAAAAGCAACTGTGACCACCATTTACTTTCTAACTTCCTGCTGCGCATGCAGTAATTAGGCCGTGGGGTATTCAGGGCACAGATTTTTAGAAAATAGATTTTTCATGTGAACACAGCCTAAGTCTAGCTGACGAGCAGACAAAATATCAGAGAGTGAAAGACAAATAAATAAATCAAGTAACAACATAATTAAGAATAGACAGCAAGGCTTTTTTATTCTTGCTATTTCTTCTACATTAATTTTGAGAATTGCGAGAAAATATCAATATCATTACCACATTAAATTCAATAAAAACATTGATAATTTTATTTTTCAATTTCTTTGAAACACAGATATAAGGCCAGGGACACTATCATGTTACACATTATATATATAAATTTATGAAAAACTAAAATAAATAATCAGTTTAATCACAGATATTAAAAAGTCCCTTACCTCCAGCTAAGGAGCCAAGTGTAAATCTGTATACACTTTCCAAGACCTCCATAGTACGCCCCCTTGTTGCCATGGTTTCTGCTGTCATCTATAGCATTAAAATAAAAACATTAATAACTTTTAACACACTACAAAGGATAAATTATATTTAATTATCTGCAGTACAGAAATTAGAAAAGGGTAAAAGGAAACGTTCAAGACAAATTAAGAAATCTATCATTTGACAAAATTTTTGGAAGCCTGCTCCACTGGTTCTGTGAGAATAACAGCAGGTTAAGTTTTGAAACTGGAATAAATAATAACAAAGTGTATTGAAAAGTGCTGAAATGAGGTAAGTACAGTCAGAATATGATGGGCTGAAGTTTTAAAATCCTTACATGAAAACAGGCATAAAAATTTTTCTTAAAAAAAAAAAAAAAAATCTGAATTTTTTGACATTATTTTTTTCTACATACAACATAACTGTGTTATATGATTTGCGTTGTCTCAATTATTTTAAAAGCAGTCATTCTAAATTCCATAACTAACATTGACTAGGTAGCCATGTGACAAGGAATTTTTGATGCAGGTTGAAAACTACATGTCTAAAGGAAGAAAACCTGCACTGTCTCTTCAGATATAATTTATTCTTTTCACATTATGTCATAACTATAATATTCAACATATACACTAAGCTCTGCTGCAATGTGTGCATCTACCAGTAGCAGCTGACTCAGACCTTGCACCTAGAGAGAAAGCCAAGTTTGTTAACAGATAAGATAAGGCATATATGGAAGTCTGTGATGCCTAGCTCTAGCATATGGTGTCTGCTGTATATAGAGAATATGCAGTTAAGTTTTTCATTCAAGGCACACACACAAATAAACAATTTACTTTATGGATGGGGGACATGGACAGATACCTAAGCATTCAATGCATGTGCAACCAAAATATCCCAATGTATACAAAATGTTGAACTTCTTCATTGGAAGATTATATTATGTTTCAAGTTCTCTTTTAAAATTTCAAGAAAAAAAAAATGCAACCAATTCTAGTCACATCTGAACCCAGACAGCTAGATGACAAACTCTATAAAACGGGCTTTTCCATTTCTCTTTTTCAATCTTGATGAAAAAAATTCAGTCTGACACTGGAAAGGAGGAGAGAACTATTAGGTTATTCAGCTTATTTTTTATTCAGATTGGCAATGTTAGTGAAGTCTTCCCTCATTCCAGCTTGTGCTAATCCCTGTTTGTGCAACAACAGAAACAGTTTTTGTTTAAGATAGTACAAAGATTCCCTCCTTAACTTTATTGCTAAATATAACAAAAACCAATGCCAAAACAAGAGTTAGTAATTATACCTAAAATTCCAGCTGACCAACATAATAAAGCGTAACTGATGATGAACAAACCATGCATACATATAACAGTTAAACACCCATCTTAATGCCTGATGTTGAGCATTTGCACCAGCTTACACACAGTAGGGTATCCAGGTGGGTGAAAATACTCCCTGAAATCTAGAAAACCCTTGAAAACCACAGCCCAAGATGTGTTGCGTTCAATACGATGTCATCAATCCCGCAGGCTGAAAGCCACCAGCCAAGCAGCAGTCCACCTTAGCAGTAAGGTGGATTGCTGCTAGGCGCGACATCAACTTGAACACTATTGTTAAAAGACAAACATTTCTAAACGGGACAGTATGCTCTGTTGTTATTAAATATGCTCTAAGTTGAGCTATAAGCCAACTGTTGGACACACTAACTCGAATGCCAGTCCTGTCCTTCGAGGACCCCTGGAAGAAAACAATTTACACTTATATCTGAAGTATAAAATTAAGCAAAAAATGGTAAAACACGTAACTAGAATATTGTGAGCTCTGGTTCCCTTTAACTACCACTTGAGAATCCATAATCATGCTTCATACTTTCACAACTAAAACAAATATTCAGCAAACCAACACAAGTCATTCTAAAAGAGCACAGCTCATATTGGATAGGCCTGTAATGTCCTACCAGGACCCTAGATTGTCCCTCTCTCTCTCTCTCTCTCTCTCTCTCTCTCTCTCTCTCTCTCTCTCTCTCTGCATTACTCACAATTAGATAACCCAGGCTGTTCCGTGTTCCTCCCTCTTACCTTAATTGACTGTTGGCTAAATGGCATTTTTTCTATATCTAATGGTGCTAAAGCATCTAGTTCTTTCCAGGAAACCCGTCTATAAAAAAAAATAAATAAATAAACAGTGCATCATGGAAAGCTATTATAGGGAAAGTTGTACTAAATACTACTATGACCAAATGCATAACAAGTCAACTTACATAAAAATAAATATATTGATCTAAAACATAACCGGGTTACCCATGCCTTTCTTGTCATAATACAAGTACGCTATTTCAATTAATTGGACTGTCCTTTCTTTGGTCAATCCAAATTCAAATTTTAGTCTTTTTGCTTAAACCAAATTTCAGCCCCGGGTTCTTTTGTGAAAACAACCCCTTAAATAAATAAATAAATAAATAAATAAACATAATGACCGTCCAGTATGTGTCCTGTTGCCTTACCCCTGCTGCCCCAGGACGTCCACTAACTGGAACAAGATGTCCACCTCTAGAGGGGTCAGCTGAGTGTAGTACTGACACTCGTGGAGAAGTTCCTCTGAAACAAACAATTCACACCCTGAATATCAGCACTGCTTTGTATTGAGTTTCATATCTTAAGACTTGTGATATATGCACACAGTTCTGACCTGTGATACAGGTTGGTTGGTTGGCCTGTCTACTAAAACAAACTAACATTTCTGTACCCAGTATGTAGGGTGTAGTTTTTAAAGACGTGAGCACATGGATTCCAACCAGTTCTCCATGGTGGTACAATAAATAGAAATATATACCATTATTATAATAAAACTTCACATCATATTTTTAAAAAGCACACTTTCTGCAATATATATTATAAAAAATTCATACATATTGTGCGTCCAGAAACTAACTAAAGAAAACTGCCTAGTAAGAATTAAGAGGCCTGAGTGTGACTCTACAGAGACAGTGTCATAAAAGCATTTACACACATTATTTAATAAACCATATGCATCAGTGGTTTAGGCCTGTAAATGTCTGAGATCTACCAAAAGCCTGGAACCTGTCATAACCTGTCAATACAATTTATCACTCGGACACATTAAAGTACTCAGATCATACCTTTTGTAAGCGTTGCCTTTTTATTTCCTCCTGTAGTGACCAAGTAGACTTTCTTGACTAGCTCCATGTTGTTCAGTAAGGAGATGAAGGCGGTGAAGTATGGGAAGCTGACTTTGTGGGCTTTGTCACTTCCAGCAACCTACAAGGTCAATATGAGGTCAAGGTCAATATAATAAGGTCAAGGTCAATATGTCAAGGCTGCAGAGGCTTTCAACTGAATATGCTTCCTTTTCGCTCACTGGAAAAGAGTGGATTAAACTATCATCTGGTGTGTTCTCTCTGTATCTTTAAACCTTATATCAATGACCTTTTTTCTCTCTGTCAAAATACATACTTACTCAACTACCAGCATCTTTGAGATTTAATTTTTTTTTTGCAAAATGATTACGTTCAACGATTCATACTTTCATTTGTCTCTCAGGTTACATGCAAATACCAAAAGAAAACAATGACATTTGGAGGAAACATTTTCGTTCAACCACTGTTATCTACTTGTGGTCTTATGAGCACATGCATCTCTTAACAAAATTTAAAGTTAAGACATATCACAGAGAAGAAAAAAGACAAAAATGGAAAAAGTACATTTATAGCAATTCAAACATTAAAAAATGTAAATATACCAAATGAATGCAAGGCATTGAAGCTACATGTATAATTAAGTTACAGTGCAAGATAAACTTGTTGGCCTCAAGCACTGTATTTTTCAGTCTATGATATATAATGTGCAAACAGCTTCTCCCCAAACTTCAGCAAGTGCAACAGCAAAGTAACCACATTACAAACCTTTCAGAAGTTTTTGTCCCAGTGAGATAAATAGAAATAATGACTTACTAATGTATAGTCACATGGTGGATGCAGAAACCAAAGCTGAAGTCTCTAACACTGACATAGCTGATGAACTTTTGGTTGAGAAGTGCTATTGAGTCTTATTGTTAAAATCATTATTTGACTACAGCAGTATCCATGTAACCCATTAGTAGAGGACTCAGCATTATATAACTGTAGTGTTATCTACCTATCCCATTAAGAGAAGACTCAGCATTATATAACTGTAGTGTTATCCACCTATCCCATTAAGAGAAGACTCAGCATTATGTAACTGCAGTGTTATTGACGTATCCCATTTCAGAAGACTCAGCATTATAGTGTTACTGACGTATCCCATTTCAGAAGTTTCAGCATTATAGTGTTATTGCCGTATCCCATTTCAGAAGCCTCTGCATTATATAACTGTAGTGTTATTGACGTATCCCATTTCAGAGGATTTGGAGTAGGGATCACATCCAAAGCATTGGATTGCCAAATTACAAATAAAAATTGTAAACCAATACACAGTACAGCCATGCAAATTTTCAAATTACACAAAAAAAATGCCAAAATGAAAACCATAGGCCGACCCTGTCTACTGAGTGGGGTAACATAGGACAAAAGCTATAATGTTGTGTTAAACCATGGGAGAATTACATGTCAAATCACTTAACCTCAAGTCCTGGTAGGGTAAAGATGGGTAGTATAATACTGAGAACAATAATAAATACGGAGTTGACTTGGAGGTCAAGTTCTGTTACTGTAACATTTATTATAGCCCAGGCATTATCTTAAAAACAGAAGGGGGGAGGAGGGAGTGGATATTGTTAGTGTCACCTTTGAACCTTTGGCCCTGCAAGTTACCTGTAACAAAATAAAACAACCTTATCACAGTGACATCCAACTCAATCCACCTGAAGCATAATTATAACAAAGTGTTAATAGAAGGGGAAGTAATACATTATGTGCAGGAGCGGATCCAGAGATATTTTCTGACAGTCTTCCAAATTATCTTTGTTGATCCATCCTCCATTTTTGACCTTCTTCTGACAGAAAAAATTAGATATCCGTCAATGTTAACTAAAAAATCTGACCGTCTTCCAGAAGACCCAGAAGACAGCCCAAATCCGCCCCTGATATGTAATTAGAATGAGATAAGTGGATCGTCCAAATTGTATGAGTAAATAGATTTTTATTTTCATTGAAAGGTGTGACAGCTCTGGTGGCTTGCAAGTTGAAATCCAATGCCAGAGGACCCGGGGTTGATCCCCAGAAGTGGTAAGCCTTTTTCATAAAAAAATCAAAACCTACATTCAAAAGCTGGTTAATGTACATGACCACTCTCAACCAATTGGGGAACATCAAATTCAGAACCATGTAAAAAGAATGATATTAATAATAATGATACTAACAACAACAGCAACCAATTAAGTTGGCAATATCTCTGGTACAGCTTTTTTTTAAATTATATTTTTCAAATAATAATTGTTCCACCTGACATAAATCAAACAAAGAATGTTTCTTAACAAGAAAAGTGGCTGTTCCATCAGCCTCCCCCTGACTTACAGCCACTACATTCTCCTTCACAGCAGGTGTCAGAAGATGGCTCTTGAGTGAGGTCAGGATATCGTAGAACTGCAGAGGGGTGATAAACCCTGTGTGGTCTACGTCAAACCTCCTAAATGCCTGCAGAGCATGTTCTTCGTGAAAATCCTGAGGAAAAAAATTTCAGCATCTTACTAGAGATTTTTTGTCTCTATATAACCTGAAGTTTTGCATCTCATAAATATCAAAATGTAGTTCATATTAAATAGATAAAGAACTGAGCAAATATAGAGCATTTTCATTCCTGTTACATGGCACGTATACTTTAATAAATTTAAAAAAATATATATAATTTACTGACTATTGATTTCTTTCCACTGAAAGGGGATTGGTTTTAAGAAACACACAAAAATACACACGAAAAACACAGACCACGAGTCCAAGTACATACATGTAAAATCTGGGTAAACTCTGCATAGCTCACTTCCCTCCTCTTGTCCCTGCCAAAGTGCAAGTTGACAAAGTCTGTCTTAAAGTCAAAGGGAATATACTGATGAAGTGTAGTATGGCTCAAGACCTGTTCAAACTCGTCTGTGAAGAAAAATACATAGCATCTGATATCAAGTTATCATGGAATAAAATCTGAGTTGAATAGATCAAAGAGTTAGCCTCTTACATGAATTCACTTACTAGGGTTAATTTCTAAACAAAACAAGAGTTACATACTGAAAAGCAGAAAATTTCTTGTTAAGTGTCTACTTCTGAACTAAAATTCAAATAAAGTGTACTTAAAGCTACAAATAATAATAATAAAGATACAACTTTAGAATCACAGCTTTTAAAAACAGTATGCCTGATCTGCTGTTGCCTTCTGATTAACTTATTCCTTCTAATTAACAAAATAAATAAATAAATAAATAAATAAATAAATAAATAAATAAATCAACTGATTCTGCACACTTCAAAGCATTTACCTTTAACTAAATTATTATACATAATCTGACTAGTAGGTTACTAGTAAGATGATCAAAACTAGCAATAAAAGGATATTTCAAATAAGGGTAAGCCAGCCATGTCAAAATGCACATTTAAATTAAGTTTTGTGGCAGATTATTATATAATTTACATTCATTAACCATTTAAACATGCCATGCTTAAAATAATATTATATAAAACAATTGTGAAAAGCATACTACACAACTGTTCAATGTATGAAGGCTCTTACTTAGCAAGAGACAGAAAAGAAACTTTGCCTGGATTACCAAAAATAACAACATATAGAACAGTACATGTATCATTTTGAACGGAAAGTTGACAGTGAATTTTATAAGACACTTGGGTGTACATTATGATCAAAATCTTGTTCATTGTTATAGTGTAAACCAACAGTACACTCCCCTTTCCCTAAATGTTCACTTACCATACGACACAGCCCCTGTACCATTGGTGTCAAACAATTGAAAAGCAAGCTCGTACATGGCATCAGGCAGTGAGAGAAGAGCTTCAAATGCTTGGAACTCCGTGAAGGAAATCTTCCTAATTGGGAGGGAGGAAAAACAAAGCATGCAGTTGCTACCACAGTCAGATTGCAGACATCAATACAGTAACGCCAACTTCATTAAAGCTTTCAACCTCTACGTAACATGTGTCAACAAAGCTGCAATGATCTATAAACATCTGATTGACTGGCTAAGTAAGAAAATAGAGGAGTTTTGTTCAGTGATAAACCTGGCTGACACTGTTTATACAGAGAACATGCATTTGTATGTATAATATCGTGCCTAAAGGACACTGATCTAGCGCCTTCAAAGTTTTTCCTTCACTGTTGCCATGGAGACCTCTCTTCTACCACTGACAGTAAACAATAGTATTCAACAGACCATGTATGTTTTGCTGTGTATAAGGCACTGTTAACAGTGACAAAAATTAAACTGCAACTAGTTTTTCTTATATTTAATACTTGGCTTAAACTGTGATCATATCTGAAAAAGAAGAGGACTTCACTCCAAAAATGATGGGTTAGGTTCAACAGTTTCATTTATTAAAAAAAGAGATACAAAGAAATAAAGAATAAATAGATATAACATAAAGTAACGTAAAATATAAGAACAAGTTTTTTTTTCATAATTGTGGTCACTGGTGTATACTGGGGTGGAAAGGGCAGAAAATGTGCTTCCTGTTAAATCTTATTCTGATGTCACTTCACACAGCCATATGCAAGATCAGAGAGTAACCTCGCATCTTCAGATAAACATCGGATCAGATCATGAAATTGGGCCTCTTAAGAGAAAGTACACCTTTGGTATAGGGGTCTCTTTCCAAAAATATAGATCTGCAGAAACTCTCAGTGAATGAAACAAATCATGCAATCAAACCCTGGCAAGCTGCAAGACCAATAACTATGATGATGAACTTTGAAAATCCTATGTATGGTAAAACATGCCAAAAATGTGTAGAGAACAATAAAAGTGATGCATTTATTGCCAGCACATCCCAAACAATAATTGAAAGGCTGTTGTAACAATCAACAAGAATGAGAAATTAAGCGATAAAAGCACAGATTGTCTTAATGACCACAATGGAAGACATGATATCACTTCTATCACATCCACCTGGACCAAAGACACAATAACATGCTCTAAGCAGTCACAATCAAACTGAGTTATGTCCCAGTTATAACTGGTCATAACAATCTATGCTGACAGCCTGCTGTAACAGCTAACACACCAATGCTGCAGACTAGCACATCTAACACAATGGGTCATATTGTCACAACCAACACAATCAAGCTGAAGGCTGTCACATCTTACACAATGGGCCACAGTGTCACAACCAGCACAATCAAGCTGAAGGCTGTCACACCTAACACAATGAGAGGGCCACCTACCATATGTTACCTCACCAGAACCATTGGTATCAAACATTTGGAAGGCGATGGCATACATAGAGTCAGCAGAACAAAGCAACGACTCAAAGGCTGAGAACTCGGTGAAGGAGATATACCTGGGGTGGGATGAGCAGATTTATTTTATTTTCAAAGCTTTAAATACAAAAAAAATGTCTGGATTGAAAACTGAAAATACCAACACATTACTGGATAAAGTTGGAGAATTTCAAATTGTTGCAAAAAATAATATAAGTAAAAAACAGAAAAAAAAGGTCTTGTGTGACCGCAATTTCAAAACTACACCACTGATATTAAAAATGTGCCATTCAAAAAAGTAAAAATATAACATGAATATAAATGGTAAAACTGAAATCAAAGAAACAAGTTAAAGAAGTCATCAACAAGACATTCCATACATTGCGAAATTTAAAAACTTGCATCTGACTCTGCTAAATAAACTTTTGGCAGAACTGAAAAAATTAAATTAAAAATTCCAAATAATATAAAATACATTTATGTGTTTAGGAAAACAAAACTCAGCAACATGTCTCCTGAAATTAGTTTTATATATGTGATTTTGGCTAAAGTCTAGTCATACAGGCCAGTATGCTCATAATCAACATGAAGGGGGCTAGAGGTTATTTCAAACAATGTCTAAATTAGAAAAGCAGCCCTGTAAAAAACCTTTTTGTACAGTAATTATCAACTGTCTGGAAAACCATTTTTAAAGACCTAGGTCAAATATTTAATACTTACTAGCCAAAATCAAATCCCCAAATAACTTGATAAAACATAAAACCAATAATAAATTGTAGTACTAGTAATCAACACGACTACATTAATGTGCACCTCAATATGTACCATTAAAAGCTTTACCTGAACACTAAAAATAATGAATAAAGTGAAAATTAACACTTCCAGATAATGCTTTCAAACTTATAAACAACTGCACAATCTATTTACCATTTATGATTAAATATAATATCAGTTCACGATCAACAAAAGTATGACAAAAAATTCACAAAGAAAACTGTCTCTAGACCATGACCCACCCGTCCTTGGTTGTGTCCACGACATTGCCCAGTAATCTCAAGGTTTCTTCATTGTGGTTCTCTTCCGGTAACATGCCCAGGTATTTCCTGATGAAATCACTGTATGACATGTACTTCTCTCCTTTGACTTCCACACTGGCATACTGGACGGGAATATGATGGAAAATATTTAAAAAAAAAATCTTTATTATTATTATGCCAAGAGGATATATTTCACAGAACTAAGTAGACAAACAAATAAATAAATAAATTAATTAATACATAAATAAAATGTCAAACAGACACAATAGCATACAGAAAAATTAGCCCTTCAAATTACTTTCATTAAAAAAAAATTAAAACAAATTGTCCTGATACTGTGAGCATGTGTATTTATACTTGCAACCATGCATGCTTTTATGTTTTCATCTCTGGTCATAGCTTTGAAAAAAATTACTGACCTTCATAAAAATTTCTCTCAGTCTTTCTGTGTCAGCTCTTTTGATCCATTGTGTCTGTAAGTATCAACCGATCATAACTAAGAAATCATACCTATCGTAAGTCATGAAATAAATGCACACACATTAAGCACATGGCATAAATTGATTATAAAAACCCATCAGTACTTATAGCCATAACAGTTCTAATAAGCCTTAAAGTCTGAAATTAGGCCATCCTCTATTGAAGAGGCTGTCCAAATGATGGCCGGATGGCTTGCAAGCTAAAACCTTCCAAAGAACTAAATTATTTAAGACACTCCCATATCACATACTGTACTAAATCATCAAGCTAAGACATCTTTGTGTTTTGAAAATTAAAGGTTATTTTTTCTCAAAACAAGACAAGTCCTATTGCTATACTAGTCTGATTATAGAGTGCCGTATTAATCTAACAGTCCCACGGCAAAGACCAAGGATCTCACAAGCTCAATTATTTTCTACGGTTACGTTGGCACTAATTAACTTAAATTACATAACATTAAATTTTATAAAACTGAATTTGTTTAAAAGCAATTGCAAACAAGAGGAAAAGAAAATCTTTCAACAAATATACCAGGGAAATTTCAAACGAATGATACTGAGACATTTGTAGGCCACACATGTGAGAAAATAAGGCCACGTTTTATAAACAAGGTCGACGCAATCACAAACCGAAGTAGGTTCCGATCTCGATTCACACTGTGCCTTAAACTTGTTGGGCCAGATTTTGGACACCATACTCAATGGCTCACCCTGAAAATTAAAGGAGAGCAGTATCAATACAAGTCTGAAAGAACGCTGCAAGCAAAGAAAGATTGTTCCAATATTCCAGTGATAATTATCTGATTTATTGCTGTGTACTCACATCTGCTCGAACCCTGGAGGCAGCCATTTTGGGTTTGAAAATCATGTGAACGCAATGATCTGATTGGCTGAATTGTGCTTATTGGGGATTCTGTACATGTGATAATCTAAAAATAGAACTAGAAATAGGGCGGAAGTTCACTTCTTGTCGATAACCAAAATGGCGGGTTGATATGAAACATTTGAGTTTGAAGTATCTGTGATGTTTTTGCAGATATTTCCCCCTAGAAATGACAGCTACAGGGAAGGGTAGTAAGGACAGGCGGGTGCTGACCCTGGCTGCGGAAGTAGCGGAAACAAAAGACAGAAATGTGCCAATTTTACTCTTAGATTTACAAGGTAAATAAAGGGTTTTGAGATTTTCAAGTTTTAAGTTTTACTTAGAAATAAATGTATTTAAAAGATGTCAAAAAATAAGTAATACTTTCATGTTTGCCTAGGTCGCCTTCAAATTTCATTTATTTCTTTAACGCTACTAGTTTGATATGTACTTAAAACCCTAAAAAAGCCCCCCCCCCTCCCAATTCCGTACCCCGGTCAATAAACTGTGTACATGTAGTTAAGGAAAGAGCAGTGTGTCAAATTATGATGTGTATTCTATTTCAGAGATTGTAGACAGTGTCCCTGTAGGCAGCAAGGAAGCCACCAGGATCAAGAATGAGATTTGGACCTATGACTTGCTACAGGTGCTCATTCTGGTCCTTAAGCAGGATTTTGACAGAGTGAGAGGGGGCTGGGGGACAGCTACCAAGCTGGCTAATCTGCTGAGGTACACAAACTGTATAAAGCTCATGTATTTTACTCACTATTCTGAATGTATTGACCTTCATGGAGTTTGTAGAGTGGAGGTGGTGGGAGGGGGGGGGGGGTTGTCCAGCTGTCTGGAATGCTGAGGCGATCCACTGCATGTTAACTTTGCACTTTAATTTAACATAAATAGTTAACAGAATATAAGTAGGCATTGATAAAATTTGCTAGGAGGGGGGTGGGGAGGGTAACTTTGGAAAATAGTCTGTTGGATGCTGAATTATTAAAACAAGATTTATATGTACTAGTAAGTGATTTAAAAGAAATTAAGTGACTGATCTTTGGATCAAATTTTCAATTTTTAAGAAATATTATTAGATTCAAAGTTACATAAAATTATGTAAAAAAGTTAACTAAAACTTTATTAAATTTAGTAAGATTTGCGACAAAAACAGCTGCTGCAGTAGGGTCATGTTTTCAGGCAATTAACCCAAGACATTGTTTTTAATTGTTCATTATCTGATTATGATTCCCAGATAGTTATGAGTTATATTATTTGTACATCCTAGCCACTGCTGTACAGGATTAGATCCGCCAGACAGCCAGGAGTTTTACCAACTGTCACTGCCAGAAGCTGTAGAAAACCAGCTGATGTTGAGCAGAAAAATTCAGACAAAGTATCTGAAAACAGATGAGGTATGGCTTTATTACCTGTCTCCAGGCTATTCCTTGGTATTTCTGAAAAGAAAAATGAATTATGCCATAATGTGCTATCTCCCTTCAAGAGCATTTTAATCTTCACTTCCTAATATCTTTATGCGAAATTAATTAGAAAGAAATGTATGTGTGTGTGTAAGTATAAAATGCTTATTTTGTATATTGACAGAAACAGCATTGAAAATTCCTTCTACCTTTGTGCAAATGAATTTTGAAGAAAAATATAACATAATATGCATATGAATATACAGGTATATACATGCATAGCAGCAATAAGACATTTTCATTTTTGTGTATTGACAGAATATGACAAACATGAGAAGAGACCTGTTGGACCACTTCCGTGGTGTACTGGAGGCTGTGACATATTTATTTAGTGGGCATGTGTTCCTTACTACTAATGGTGAGTGTATGGGTAATAAAATAACACTAACTTAAACCTGTTGTAAATGGACATGATATTCTTCTAATGAAGAGCTTTAATAGATTGTAAGGTATAACCTCCTATATTTCTGCAGGTGTCAGAACTTACAATTTCTCAGCTCTTGATAAGAATTTCACACACAATATTATTTTACATAAACTGAACAGAGTAAACGAAGTTTCTTTCCCATATATTGAAGTTTTTTTCACTGAATACATACTAGTAAACTTGTTTTAAAGTTTTATCAACTGAACATTGTGACATGTCTTTAAAAGTAGTAATTGATTTGAATAATTTTGTATTTCTACCAACTTAACAGCTTAACTATTTACTAATAATGAAGTGTTCACATTCCCACCTTCTTTGTTATTCTCCAGTGCTGAAGTCCCAGTGGCTCCTACAATTGTTAATCACTGATGACGTTGACACCGCCCTGTCATGTATGACACTTATCTTGAACTGTACACGTGTCAACAGGTGATTGTGTTCATAGACTTACTGTTAACAGTTATCAGCAAAGTATTAAGAGACTAGGTTGAACATTCAATATCACTGTTTAAGTACTTGAAAATGTGAAAAATGTTTTGTCTTGAAAATTATGTTAGATTTATATATGACATGGTAAACTCTGCTTTGACAGTTTTAAAGTTTTGTTTCGACATTTGATTCGAAGTAACAGTTATACTAACTTAAAAACAGCATTATAGCTATTGAAAAAGAAAAATGAGTCTCTGTAAATCCCATTGATAAAAAATACTTGATTGTATTATGGCAGTGGTGTATAATATTCTAGTATATTGACTAAGTGTTAAGCCTGGTTTATATGCTGTGATTTCCTTTATCTTCCTGCAGAGACGTATTTAGTACGTTGAGTGAGAGACTGGTGAACAGTATCCTGGATGAGTTGGTCTACAAGTTATCAGCTAGCACCAATATGGACATAGGAAGGTCAGTTGTGGCAGTGGAATTTAATGATATTTACTGTATGTGTATATTATGGCACATTGAGCAAAACAGATGTACAGAAATATAGTTTTAAATTTATACAAAAAAAAGTGGCACATTCCCTCATTAATCCTCAGAACATTGGATACAAATTTACAAATGCTGTGTTTCTGAATTTACCACAAATATTTGACTTCTTGTCGTCTCAGATGATCATGAAATGCATATTTATGTTTTGTTCTCTAAAATGTTATTATTTTCTTTTTTTCTTTTCTGCTTTTTATTATAATCCTCCATCTCAATCTGTGTTGTCTTCCAGTGCTACCACCAGAATTCTCCTTACCATTTGTGATACCAACCCTCCAATGGTGGAACAGATTTGTATCAGATACAGGTCAGTTCATTGTGCTCTATTCTCATCTAACACAATGTCACTGAACACTTACCACAATGTCACTGAACACCTAACACAATGTCACTGAACACCTAACACAAGCTCACCTGAAGGCATCATTCAGATGTGTACAGACTACAGAGTAACATATATCTTTGTGATTTTTCAGAGGTTTACGTCCTTTGCTTAGCAAGTGGACAGGAAAAGGTTTTGGCAAGGATCTGAAGCAGTTGATTCTTTTACTTGAGTCTGGCAGTGCTCATAGGGCTAAAATGGAGGTAATATAGTTCTCTCTCTCTCTTTCTCTCTTTGTCACACACTCAAACACCTGCATGCACGCATGCACACACACACACACACACAGAGGCACACGTGTACAACAAGAGCATGTCATTACTTGTTACTGAAATATGCTCCATAAACTTTACTTTAAAACAGCCAGAACACCTCATGAAAACCAGTCTTTTCCTGCTCATCTCTAATTCTTATGTTTACCATGTGTCTGCCTATTGTAGCGGCTCCACAGAGCAGCCACCACTATACAGGCCATGTGGAGGAGCTTCCAGACAAGAAACCAACTGAAGAAAGCAGACAGAGCATTTGCAAAGTTGCAGAGAAGTTTTAGGTAATTTTCAATACGTACATCTGAATTTTTTAATTCTTTTTTCATTTGATTAAAAGAAGTGTAGCACACTAGGGAAGCAGAAAACTTCTGTTTAGAACATTTCCTGAAGAGCAGTTCATTTGTATGATATTTCTAGATGACTTCTCATTTATTTATTTATTTATTTATTTATTTATTTATTTATTTATTGTGGTTCACAGAGTAAAGCGGGAGAGGACACAGAAGGAACGTGAAAATGAACAGCTGCAGTCAGAACTGGAGCATCAGTTATTATTGGCGAGGAGAAAAGCCATCAGAGAATCCAGGTTGAAACAGCTGGAGCTTCTCTCTATAATGCCAGCAGGTTAGTGTGTGTGTGTGTGTGTGTGTGTGTGTGTGTGCATGTGCAAGTGTGCATGCATGTGTACACATTTGGACGGGTGCAGTTTTATTTGTGTTTGTGTGTGCAACTTTCTGTGTGTGAATCAAAAATTTTTTTTTTAGCCTAGGTGAACTGGGTATATGTGTGTGTTGTTTGTGTTTGTACAAGTAAGTATTTGCATTTTGAATGAAAGACATCATTTCATTTAACTTGATAACCTAGTAAGTATGAGTACCACACACTTGCTTAGAAAAAATCCACCTATGTTGTTTTGAATAGCATTTTCTGAATATTTTTACTTTTTGGATCATTTTCTGACACTCATGAAACGCCCTTTCTTATGCAAAGCCAACTTTTTTTTTGAAACTTTTGAATCAAGATTTCAGAATATTAATAAAAAAATTAAGACACTATGTAAATTTACAGGGATGCTAGTCTTCCGGTTTTTACCGGAATTCCGTTTTTTTGCGTCCAGTTATAAAATTTTCTGGTACTATATTTTGTTCCGGAATTCTCGTTTTTAACGTGGTCGCGGACTGGACGAACGATGCGTCAGAGGAACGTCGCATTTCAACCATTGCGACAGAGCTGCGTTTCAACACAATATCTAGTCACAACCGTAGCACGTGATTTATTTATGGCGCTTGATTGGTTGGAAATGTAGGCTTTAATGTCGGCACCCATGTGGAAAGTTTTGACACCGCGTGCGCGGAATTTTGAACTAAACCAAACTAAATGGATTTCGCGGAGAGGGGAACAGACGATATTAGAAACATCGACATTACTGTCAAAAATAGATTTAGTTGGAGTT